TTAAATGTCCAACCAAACATTGTCTTTACTGCATACGGACCACCATTTTCACTTTTTTGCACCTCTAGTGGCTGCAAAGCATTTGGTACATCCATGCCAATCAGCAAACTCACTACACCATCGTTAATAGTACCGGGTAACGTTATCCCTTCTAAGTGCGGCCATCTTTTGACATCTTCTTGACAAGCCAAAGCTGATGTTGGAATATTCAACATTTTTGTAGAAAATACATTAGGCATCTGAAGGTGCTTTGTTTCCTCAAGATCCATCACTTCCAAACTAACAACTGACGTCTGACAATATGTTTTTGAACCATTGATCGTAGCGACTGACAATTCACACTTTCTTCCAGTCACACCAAGTTTATCCAAGAGGGCTTCACTACAAAATGAGGCAGTAGATCCACTGTCAAGGAGTGCATATGTCTTAAATAATTTGTCACTTCCTGTCCCTTTTACCATTAATGGAACTATTGGTAATCCAATGTTGTCGCCTTCTTGATCGTTACATCGTGTTACTCCAACAAACTTATCATTGTCTGGACTCGAATCTCTTCTGCGAGCTTCGTTATCTGCATATTTTCCGCTTTCATCCTTACGCCGTTTCTCGTATGCCACCACAGAGTCATGTATTCCTGTCAAATGTTTGCGTCGTAGATTACATTCTGGCACTGTACAGGCTTTTCTTTGTTTGCAACCAGCGGAGAAGTGAAATGATGATAGACAATTATCACAGAGCTTCTTTGAACGAATGAAATTAAACTGTTCCTCACCAGATTTCTTCTTGAATTCCACGCAACTTGCCAATTTATGGTTTCTCTCACAGAAATAACATCGCACATCTGGTGAAGTGACATTTGGCTTCTTGTCATAAGTCTGAATACTGTAATTCAAGCTTCGCTGCGGATATGTCGCATTTGATCTTCTGTTCTTGTCATTTCGTGATGACTGTTCCCTGTTAACATTGTCCATGATAGCACCAAAAACGGGGTCGTTCTTTTCCTTTGATATTGTTCTGATCAAGCGCCGTACATCTTCAACTGTAGGCTCTCTATGATACGATCTGATCTCCTGGACACGAGATTGCCAACGGGACTTCACAAAGTTTGGACATCGCTCTAGGACTTTCACCAATCGGTCTTCATTGTTTAGCTGTGTCAATCTGCCTGCAGCCTTCAGAGTCATCTCGCAGTTCTCGAGGTCATCTGCTAATTCTTGCAAGCCTTCTCTGTCACCAGGCTTTATCACAGGACCACAGGATACTTTCTTTAACCACGAGTCTGATACAGTATATGCATCACCAAAGCGTTCAGCCAAGATTTGTTTTGCCTTCAAGTATCCATCCCGAGGTTCGAGAAGAATACATCCTTCTATTGCTCTTCTTGCTTTGCCTGTACAAAACTGAACTAAAAGCTGCAACCGTTTGCTAAAATCACAAGTGTCATTCTCAACATTATTCTGAAAAGATCGTATGAAAAGAAAATACTTCAAGGGGTTGCCATCGAACATACTGATTTCAGATTTTGGTAAAAGTGCAGCAACTGCTAATTTCTTCATTGTCTCAAGGTAATCTTCGCCATTTAATGTCGGGTTGGCACATGTTTCATCAGTAAAATCTTGTTGCAGGGGTGACTTCCAAGGTGGAGCATGTGGGTTCAACTGACGTTCTTGTTGGGGATAGCCAAATTCTGAAAATTGTTTAAATGTTTGCTCACCTATGATTCCTGTTTTTGTTGGCTTCCTTTGTACTTGTGAGCCGAATTCCATATTTTGACTTTTTCTTAACTCGCCTCTAATTTGCTGACACGTGTTCTTAGATCCCACGTCTCTTGGTAATTGACCATACGCCTCGTCTTGTGATCCGGTTGCCATGGCGAAACCTGTGTAAACTTTTTCTTCAGCCTCGATTTTTGCAAGTTTCATGTCTAGCGCCAGCCTCTTCTTTCTTTGACTTAATCGTAGTTCTTCATGAGCAATGTTTTGACACTCTTCAAATGTTGACGCCTCTGCAAGCAAGGATGCCTTTGTTACAGCATTCTTCAACATCATATCCTGAAGGGTAGATCTGCTCGATTTCTTTGAGTTCTTAGAACACATTGAAGTGACGCAAGAATGAGAAATAATTTCGCTCACCGAGTCTTCGGGACTGATTTCAGCCTTCAGCATCTCTGTTGATGTAGAAAGGGGTTGTGTTATCAACGATACTCTTTCCTTGATATCATAATATCGTCTTTCAGCTTCGTGTGTGTACGCGAGGCATTCTTCAATATCATCTTCGTCAACCATTACAGCTTTGTATTCTTGACATGCCACTTTGAAATGATCGAAAGTTTCGTTGAGCCTGGCTTCGGCAACTCTCACATCGTCTACGGTTTGTTCAGTAGTCAAGCAATCAGCAACACGATTCAGAACTTTCGTAAGCTCTCGTTTTGCATTGGCTCTCATTTTCTTTAAATGTCGGACATGCTCAGTATCGATACTATCAGCACCACAAAACGCCATTATCTCTTGTTGTCAAATACGAACTGATGTAGCTTCAAAGCAAATCTGCTACTGAGGAGGGCACGAACTAATCAGAAATGAACCCAGTTTCCACTAAGCAAAAACAACGCTGGCGTTCTTTCTATCTTGATAATTGTTCGCTAAATGAAATAGTTGATAAAATTATACATAATTAATTAACGAGATCTAAATGTAATGCAACTAAATGAAAATAACAACTTGAAGAAAAAGCAACATAAACGATTACAGGTTAACCAAATTAATTTCAACTTACTATTTATTTGACCTCGTAGCATAGCATTATCTAAGCAACAGTACTACTAATATCGCACGTACTAATATCGATGTTGTTCTCTCTTCTTACTGGGTAAAACACGCCCAAAGCTTATATAGGGCTATAATGCAAATCCTCGAAGACACGCTTATAACGAGAAGAAATGTCACGTGTCCCCGAGGACATGCCTAAACAATGCTAAAAGTTTCTAATAATAGCAGGGTCAAAAGTCCAAAATAGTTCTACTGAAAAAACAACAACAAGTAAATAAGATTAAAAACAATCTGTTTTCTACAGTGATAGTAAGCCTTCTCGTAGGGCCTAAAATAAATTTTTTTTATAGATTCACAATTTTTTGATAAAAATTGAGCGTGGTGCTTTACTCGGATTGGCATGATACATAGGCGTGGCAAATATAAAAACTGCCACCAGAGTGCAAGTAGCATGTCCTAATTGAGCAAATTCTTAAATGGATGAAGTATAAGAAGCAAAAGCTGATTCTTTGCAATACATGGATTGGGTTAATAAGAAAATTAGCAACATATAATGATGTCTTAACTTGTGAGCAAAAAGGTATCGAAAGGAAACCTTTTTACATGGTTTTTTCGGATCTCTATCAATGTTCCTTTTTCTTTCCTTTCTCCTGCAAAAACTCCCTTAAATCGGTCTTGCTTGCTAGACTTTGGAGCCATATCTCTGCAGCTGTTCATGGAATTTGAAACTTGCAAGATTATTTATTGCTATATCTATATATATCTGGTTAGTTTTTCTGGAGCTATTCTGCTTTCCCCACCTGCTTCTATCTTTTTGTAGGTGGGAATCAGCTTCTCTACATCGGCAGAAATAGGGTTTGCTGCGAGAATCCGTGCCATTGTCTCGTCTGGTAGAAGTCCTCTGAGAACTCACCTCATCCTCGTAGAAGTCTCAGATCTCTGCGATCTCAGTCATTTATTTCTTAAAATTTAATGCATAATTGAATGAATATTTTGTCTGGGACAAAAGCTGGGTGAAGCTTGCTTAAACCCCTTTTTGCTTATGAAGAATTCAAAATTGCATTCAGCCCGTCAAATTATTTTTCATCAAATTCTGTTCTTCAAAAAGTTTTGATACTATAAACGAGATTCTTGTTTATATGGCAAATAATCTATTCTCTCACTGATGTACAAATTGTGCTTGTCTTGTCTTATTATCTTTTCGCACAATTTGAAAGCACGATCTTTTTTGTAATGCAGACACCACGCACCAGCCAGTGTGACCAGATCTCAATTTTGGAATTATGCCAAATTTGTCATAAGATTGTGCTAGATTTGCAAAATTATGTTAAATTTCAAATCAAGGCAACCCTGCTCGAGAAAGAGGCTAACACATGCTTAGAATATAAAGAGGCCAGAGTTGCCATTTGGCCTTTTTGACCACTCATCTAAAGCCCAGCGTACTCATTCTTCATAAATAAGAATTAGCAATTTAGATCAATGGTTTTGATGGCTAAATTTCTCCATTTTAGCAGTTTTTCAAAACTCCTTGGCCGTCATAAATTGATTTGGCCGAAGAAGCAAAATTTGACTGAATTCTGGCCGCATGTTGCAAAAAACAACGAAATGCAAAGGATACAAAAATTTTTGCACAGATGATATTCAAAACTTTTTAAAATAATTTCAAAATTGCAAATGATGAATGATGAAACAAAGTAAAAGAAACATACAATTTAAGATAAAAGTGAAAACTTTTGTAACCTACAAAGCAAATTTTGATTACGCTATCACTCCTCACAATTAGAAAAAATTTAGCTTTTTTGTATACTGCATTTAGCTGGTTTAATTTGGCTGCCAACCATAAGATATGTGGCTGCCAACCATTCCAAACATCTGGTAAAATCCTGAAAATGGAAAGGCACAATCTACTCCCAATTTACTCCCATTTGGTAACGATAGACAACGGATCAATTGAACAATGATTTTATGCTAAATGACGATTTGTGGCCAATGTGATGCTAAAACCATAATATTATGCTAGATCAGGTCACACTGGCACAAGTCCACAAGGAATGGCTGGAACGGGGCTAGGAGGCTTGTCCCTAAACTTTTTTGGGTTTTTTTTATATCATTCTACCAAGCTCGAATCTTCTCCTTTAAAATGCAATCTCACAAATTCACTTTATTGGCATGAAAATTTACTCTATACCGTCCGTTCTGAGAACCGTTTAGTTATTTGCTCGTAATAGGTAGGATTTCTAACTGCCAACTCGTTTCTCGTTCTTCCGGCTAATGAGGCTCTAGAAATGAGCCTTGTAGGACTCCTGAAAAAACCTGCTCGCTTCTTGAAAATATTCTTTACAGGTTACTGTAAGATCAAAGGACACCATCTTTCCGTCGTACTTCATTTAGAAAACTTTGTTAAATCCTTAAAGCAGTACTTCTAACCTTTCATTAACTCTAAAAAATGAATTCTACAAGAACACTTACTGAAAAATACCTCATTTCCGACTATATGGCAAAGCAAACACGCACAAAATAGTGCTATTCGAAAATCTTATTTCTATTCAACACATATTTTCTCTTTAAAACATCCTGACTTACTTTAGTTCAGAATTTAGTCATTCTAATATAAGCCTAAGAAAACCAGTTGGAAAACTACGTATGAATTCGAAATTTCGTAGCTCCAGTTTAACAAGTTTAACATGATATTTAATATCAGGGTATTAACTGCTAATAACAAAAAACCATAGAGTGATGAAACAAAAAAACAGATGAATGCATTGTGCAATCATTTTATCCCCATTATAAAAATGTATTTTAAATTCTTGCATCGAAATATGACGAATACAAAATACCAAAAAACTAATTGGTTTCAATTTTGAGCTATAAATTTTACAACTTTTGAATATGCACAGATGTAATGTACTTTGAATTATACTTTGAAAAAATATATATACAACTATCAATTTCTTCTATATAGTAACAAACGTATGCTGTCACAAAATTGAAAATGTACAAAGAATAGTTTCTAAACACATCCAATAAGAAGCTTTCGTAAGACACTGGTTACATTCTGAGTACACTGACTGTTGCTTTATTCTATAACTTGTTTCATTTGAAAAATATTTCTCATGTTACAAAGTTGGAATTCACATGGACATGATGTCGGGAATAATTTACTTGCCACAGCCCGAAAGGTTCCTTTTCCCAAGCTATGGCTACATCATTAACTATGAATTGCCTTAAACACTGAATTAACATATACGAAAAATACATGAATGCAATCAGTACCAGCTCAGCAGGGCATCACATCACATGTGGGTTACTCCCAACATTTTTGAGAACACAATCATATAATTAAAAAGCCCTGTTTGTTTTATTATAATATGTCTTCTCTTATCCCGGATTCTAAAAAATTGAATTGATAATATGTCTAAATGTGAATGTAAGCTAAATATGTTTTTTTTGTGAAATGTATGTTAAACATTTCATCATAAATGCAACTATGTGTAAAATATTTTCCCAAGCTAAAAAAGTATACAAAGCTGTACCTCACATTGTGGCAACACAAGCACAAAAGTGATTTTCATTCTATAAAAAACCATTGAAGTTTCATCCTATGACCCAAACTGAATTTCTTTTACTTCATCCTTCTCTTTGGTCAAGTCTTCAATAACTTTGAGCATGTAGGGCCTTAAGGAGAAAATGACAATAAAGTAAAATAGATAAAGTATTGAACAGAAATATTTGTATTTTTATTTTTTGTATTTTGAATTTGGTATTTGTTTCTACCTAGCATCTGAAGGTAGCTTTTAGGACACTGATAAGCTATGTTTATCCAGCAGTGCCCTGGCCCTTCCTATCCCTGTGACCACACCTCATAATTCCTATGCCTCGAATTACAGAGAGCTGGTGACTCTCCCCACTCTATGTGAAAGTTTGGTCATGCCAGTGACTCAAACCACAGACCCTTGGGTCTGCAGTCAGCACCACTAACAGTTGAGACATCCTGGCACACAACTAAGCATTAACAAATACTTTAAACAACATTTTGTTCAATAAAATATTTCCAGTTTAACAGTCACAAAACTTCTTAAGGAGCTTCTCAAGGAAAGATAGAACTTTATCTTGTTTCAAATGTACTTTCCTTAAGGTTTTCAAATATTTCCAGCTTTTGGAAACTGCTACCAGATAGCCTTGCTAGATAGAAATGTACATAAACTAAAGTATCAAAATATATGTTGAACTTAACAAGAACTAAACAAAAATTGAAGCTTTTTACTTACAATTCTGATTTGTTTTTCAGATAAGACAGGGAAATGACCCAAAAGAAAGCAATAGTTGATATATACACCACACGATAAGCAGTTGGTATGAATGCAAAGTTAATAGCCTATGGAGAAAAGAGAGCAGTAATTGCAAAAGAACCAGTCTCATTTACTTCTTGCAACTGAAATCATTCATTGACATATCTAGGATAGAATATATAAATTCATAGAATCACTGACAGAGTTGTTATTAACAAATGATCTGCCTTTTTGTAATCTGTGTCAGCTTTCTATATGCTCATAAACATGAGATAAGCCAGAAACAACAGACAGAAATATGAAAATCTTTTATAAATATTTTCAGATGTATCTAAAAATCAAATAAACATTCAGTATTACTGGGTTACCATACTCATCATACTCTTGAGTTGTGTTGGAAGTTATGGGGCATGGGGGCTCAGGCCCCCCAATCAGCATTCTTGCTGGAAAAATCCAGGCTTTTGTCGGAAAATTGTTAACATTTAACATGTCAAAAGCGCATTCAAGATGTTATCTTGTCAGAAAATTGTGGGCCTGAGCCTCCCCTCAAAATGAAAGCCTGAATTTCTCCCACATCCCAATAAACAGGTAATTAGCTAGTAGTCCCTAATTAGAAAATAAAGGCACACATAGAAGCTGCTGGTTTCCTAATATAGAAAAAATGTATCAATAACATAGCAGTATAAAATGATCAGATCTTAGTAATTTTTCCATTTCTTTTTGTTCCAGATATGTATCCTTGTGCTACCATGAGCTTCATTGTGCATATCTAAAAAAAGACAAACTGGGGGGTCTGGAATAAGGCTTGGTTCAAAGAATGACTCTAACACTCTAAAATTTGCTGAATCCTAAAGCACAACAAATCACATACCTGTGCTGTAGGCCAAATTATGAAGCTTGCCTGGAATGAATTTTTTCAAAATTAAATATTTAATGTCTGAAGATCATTCAAATTAATGTATGCTTGCTAGGTTTGATTGGATAAATGTGGAACATGGAGTGATATGTACTAAGATCAGTGCAACAATATGAAATATGTTTGTTCCTGTGCACAACATTCTTCATTAAAAATGCATCTCTCATTAAGCAATGAGAATATTACACTATTTTAAATCAAGCTGGAAATTCATTATTGTATAGATTGCAGGTGTATTGTGACTGCTAGCCTGGGCTATGCCGGATCACCATTGATTAAAAAATGAATTTGGTATAGGTTGTGGTGCCTTGAACAAGGGTCATTTGCTAATTATGTAGCACTGATAAGATTGATGGGCTGAAGAATATCCATAACTAGCTTTTACTCATTTACATAGTGAATGACCAATTCCCCTCTCTTTTCATAGTCACGAGTGAACTCTTGGATATCAAATTGCAATATATTTTTCAAACATTGTCTTACACAAACATGCATTTAAGCAATATTTACCGCATATGTTGGCAAGAACTTTTTTTTGAGCTCAGCTTTAGTCTCGTTCCAAGTTTTTCCTTCCAATAGTGACATTCCTGATTAGAAAAAAGATCCAATGTGATGCTGGAAGAAATCTATCAATATTCATTGCTAGTGTTAAAAACAAAATAAGCTTATTCACAAATACTCTATCAACATAAACAAAATAGTTCTTGACAGGAAAGCACCTGAACAAAAACCTCCAAAGGAAAAGGAAATTTTTTCTTAAATTTTTTTATGATTACACTGGTCCCTACATCCTAATCAACATTTCAACTGTTCATTATAAAACAATAAGGTTAATCGATAAGTTAATCGTTCTTGTCTACAGTGGTGGCGCCAGGGGAGGGCTAGGGGGGGGGGGGCTACAGCGTATGACATGTTTCATCGCATAATGGGCAAAACAAAACTTATGTTAATCGATAAGATGCTGAAGATCTTTTTGTTTCACGTACCTACATAAAAAATTCCGGTAGATATGCACGTGAAAACCATCTGATCAAAAATCAATTTTTTCATTACCACCTTTGCACCACTACCAGGCAATATTCTATCTAAATTGTTGTACACAAAAGTAGAGACAGGCCCATAGTAGAAAAATCCCATAGTCGCCATTCTACCAGTTCGTTCATAGTCGTAGCTCGACAAGACACCAAATTGTATTTTCTGACATACAAAATCGGCAGAAGTAAGTAGGCATGTGTAAAATACTGCATTTCCAATATATCGGTGCTTATAAAATAACCTTCGCAACGTAGAAAGCACCATGATTCACGTTTGTCTCCTACAGCACAGGCGAATCTGACTGGGCTTCGCAAATTGACAACTGAAGCGAGGAGCGAGGAAGTAAAAATTCTTTTGGTCTACCATTATTGACACGTCACGTGGGCTTTGAACGACATCGACGGACAGATCAGACTGGTATGTACAATCACGTGACCATACAGCCTGGTCTAGACTTCATAAAGGTTTACTGTCGCTAACTTCATTTGCAACAACTACCCCAATCTCAATTAAGTCCTGCGAATACCTTCAGAATTTCATGAAAAATGATAAAATCTCAAAATGCAGGCAAATTTCACTAGCGCGAGCTTGGATATATTTTTGAGTATAAAAAAAGTCGTTTCAATTATCTAATAAATATTCTGGGAAAATTATATAGATAAAGAACAGCCAGTTTCAAAATATGGTTCCAATAAACATTTTCCAAACATCGTTGCCAAATCCTCGCATAATTTTAAATACATAAGCTTCATTACTTTATCTTTTTCACGGTCTAGGCAGGATTATTCTTTTCAAACTCTGCCTGAATTTGAACTCAACACCAAAACAAGTGATCCTGAGAGAAAGCAGAGGGTCAAAATAGGCCATAGCTTTAGTAGCTGGAAAATACTACCATTACCAAAAGGAGTTCCACGGGGGTCAGCACTTGGCCCCTTTTTATTCAAAATTTTTATGAATGACTTCTTTTATGCTATAAAACACTCAGAGATTTACAACTTCGTTGGTGGTGACACGATTTATATGTATGAAGATGACATGAGAAAAGCAATGAACTGGGATGAACTGAACTAAGTGAAAGCCACATATTTTGCATTGATATTCATATACATTTAAATGATCTCACTAAAAGACAAAAACGCAAGTTAAAGCTCTCTGTTACAAGCCCGGCAAATACAGTCCCGGATGAGAAATTTCCGGTAAATACTGAACGCGGTAAAAAAATCCGACGACCCAGACATTTTTCTATCTTCCAATGCCACAGGCAGGCTAAGACTTTTTGTCCCCAGTCAGTCTCGAGTTCCCTCTTTGGCACAACAAAATAATACGGAAAGGTTTTTAGAGCAAAATCCTCTACTTGAGCCCGATTCAACAATGACCCTATTTGACCCTCAGTGCTGCCAACATGATTGTAAATTTAGGCCGGGGGGGGTACTCCCATTAAGGTCTGACAGGGGGGTCCAATCGATTTGAGTGTTTTACCAAATGGCTACCAAATGCCCCAGTTTCGATAATAACTTAACGGCTTAGTTTAGCTTGCGATTTTTATAGACAATAAACAAGGTTTTATCTTCCCCGAATCAACAACAGTCAATGACGAAGAAATTTTTTCAAAGAAGGACCAGGCGCGTACAAAAAAATGGATGCTACCAATGGCATAGTTTCCGTCCTTTTGCTACTATTTGAGGGTTATGGTAAAAAAACACTACTATTTGAGGGTAATTTTTCAACATTTTAGCTTTGGCCTTCATTGACCCTCACTGGACCCCCTGTTAGAACATAATAGGAGTAACCCCCCCCCTCCCGGAAAACTTAGTTTGCAGTCCTGCCAGTCCAACACCAGTATTGCTATCCCTGTCATATTTGCATCAATGTTTCGAGAAATACTCAATGCAGTTGGCTTGGGACTTTCTTTTCGGTTTACTCTTACAGTTGTGCTTTTGAAATCAATTAAGAAACACAAAGACGAATAAAATGATGGATAAAAATCATTAATCTTTAATTATTATTTTCTTAATTCGGTTGGTTATATATTAACCAAATTCATTTTCAATTACAAGGATTAAAAAAACTAAAGGGAAATGCTCTAGGTATTTCTAAACAGAATAGAGTAAAGGAGGTTAAAATTCAATGTATCAAATTGGAACTGGCAGGGTCACGTTAATTACTAGTAGGGTGCTCAATATTGAACAATAACCAATCTCCCGTATGCAAAGGGAGATTCAGGGTTTGCACCCCTTCCAAAAAAAACTTTGTGGGGTTAAGGTAGGCAGAACCCTTTCGTTTTGTCGTCAGTAAATGATGTTTGATTGCCTTTTTTGGAAAAGATGTTGGATTCGTACGTTTGCTCTTTCATTCTCCTTCGCAATTCCTTCCCCCGTTCTTCATCCCTTGACTCTCTGAGCACCCAGGGTATTGGATTCGATATATAAAAAGGGAACTATTCTATTTCCAGGAGTATACTGGGCGTTGCTGCCCCCTCCCCCAGAGCTGCATTCCCACTTTATAGGAGCTGCGTTTACCCTTGAAAGTAATGAATTGCATTTCATTACAAATGACTATGCCTTTTAGGAATAAAGGGGTTCTAGTTATCTAAAAAAGGTCTTCTAGGCAACCCTTCTCTATCAAGCGTTTTTTCATTTATCAAAAATTATCTACATTTAATTGGCTCAGACTACTGCATTTCTACCAAAATAATACGAACACAGCAATATAAAAGCAAAGTTAAAAAATGCATACATATATTCAAAAATATACATATATAGCCTGAGTAAAAGGCAATCTTTTTTGGATTCATTTGAGCGTATATTTTATATTGGATTCATTGAGGCTGGTACCCAGGGCATTGGTTATACTATTAGCTTTTTAACCGCAGGGCTTTCAAGACCGAAGATGCTGTTTCTTAAATCCCTGCAAAATATTTTTAATAATATGGGGAAATTACACCAGTTTCTTCTATTGGATTTCACATGGAAACACGTGCCCAAAGTTTGCTAGTTTTCTTGTGTGGGAAATATCATCATGATTATACGCAAACTTTGAGCTTACATTAATTTTCAATTTTGCTTCGGTTTCACAATAATGGATCGTTTCATAATAAACTACTATACGACTTAATTGATTTAAACTTATAACTACAACGATTTGTTAGCCTTTTTACACAAGTTTAGCATAGCTGTTCATCTAAGTTTTATTATATTTCATTCCATAGCGGTAGACTTTGCTAAAAATCTATTTCAAGGTTATTAATACAAATAGAGGATGCAGTAAACGGTGCTTATCGACTGTATCGACGGTCTGATTTCCAGTAGAGTGACTATAGAACCAACTATACATATCTATTTAATTTGATGCAATTAAAATCAGTGCATCTATTAGATTTCAGTGCATCCAACACTGGACACTTACCAACAACGGACACCTACCAGCAACGGACGCCTACAAACAGCGGACACCTATTAAGAATGAACAAATCATTTCGCGCCGCATTTCTTCTTATACTTTGGTGCAAGTTCTGTGGAAATGAAATCCGGACAACGGACAATTCTCCAACACTTCAGACTATTTCAAGGAGATCGTTGAATATTACGTCTTTGTTGTGGGACTGCAAAAAAATGATAAGGAAGACTTGATAATCAGAAAAGGTTCTGTAGATTAGCATAGCAACGGAAGAAAGGGTTTAAAACAAAAAATGTTGCTTTTTTGAAACAGCTAAAAATCAAAATTCAAACTTAAGATAATCGATTAATCCCTGGGTTGCGACAGAAGATTTGTCAAATGTCTTTACAGCTTTACTTATGAAAAGTAGAACGTAAAACAAAGTGGCTTTGAGTAATATTGGGACAAAATGGTGTGAAGATGAGAGTTGGTCGGAAAGTGAGGAAGTGATATGAAGAAGGGATGTTTTGCGAGGTGTCAGAAAATTCGTTCAGTACTAAACAATGATTATTACAGTTAAAAATGATTCTCCTAAATGAAAATTTTATGAACCTTCAAACGTCGCTAATAATCACGGTTGCAGAAGTTTGTCTTTCGTTATACAACAGCATATACATCAGCGTTTCCATGTATGCAATTTGATACTAAGGCCTTTCCCAGCACTTGCGCAATTTTGAACCTTTGAAGCTGAAGCTTTTCTTGAAAAATCCCCCTACCCCCCATTACCATGTTGCTCAATTGGGCTATTTTGATCCTGAAGGTAAAAATTTCTTCACTGAAAGCTGTATGAAAGAATTGAGAAAAAAAATCAATATTGTACGGGGGGAAGGGGGTCGAAATTTTTGAAGCGGCAGTGACATTTTGGTAAGGTAGTTTTAGACTTGCTTTGTTTATTTGCATGCTGCAATGGGAAGGCCTCCCAGTTATTTTTGGCAAGGATTGTAGCTTCCAGCATCCTTCCATCCTCCAGAATCCCCCATCTCCAAGTATTCCCACAGTCCCCGCATTCCCCCATCCGCCATTGTCCCAGAACCTTCAGCATCATCAAACTGCCAGTATCCCCCAGCCTCCAGCATCTCCTCAGCCCCCAGCATCCCAAAGCCCCAAGCATTCCCCAGAGCCCCCATCAGCCCCCTGAAACCTATCCACTTTAAGGCAAAACGGTTTAAAGGTGCTTACCTTAAATTTACCTATAGCTTAGCAATTTTCCTGACATCGGGACAGAGGATGACGACACCTGTGTCAATGTTGACATGTAGGAAAGTTTTTCCTCGTGACCAGGTGCCTGAAGAAGCCAATCGCGTTCAGGAAAGGAAATTGTGAATGCATTTTGAAAATCTGAAAGATAAATGACAGTTTGTGAGTAGCAGCTTAGCTATTTAACAGTCTAGCAGCAAATTCCAGGATAATCTATTTCAATAGAGCTATCCTGAAACAAATTGTTATTACAAAAATGAAGAAAGATATTTAAATCCATTGACATTTCGAGATCAAGTTGTGCGCGAATGAAGAGCAAAAAAGGTCACAGCTCCGAGACATTGAACAAAGACAATCAGTTTTTTTGTTTCTTAACATTCACATAATCGCTTCAGAATCGAATGCAAAACTTGAAAAATTGTGATGCAAACTTATACGAAAAATACCATGAAACTAAGCTGAGGTATAAGCTGGGTGTCTTCCAGAAGTGGGTATAGTATGTGACTTCATATTAAATTGACTAGAATGACTTCAAACGTATGAGTCCTTGTCGGAGTGAATTACGCAAATGAGATTTTAAGTAAGGGTGACTTAAGATTATGTGCGTTCAAGTCGGAGTAAATTAAGACAAATGTAACGCTTGGTAAGGCTGACTTGAGACTTGCGTGATTCTAAGTCATAATGACTTTAGAAAAGTATGACTCTAGATAAAAATATAAATTATCATAGCTGTCACAAAAAGCTGGAATGATGTCAGAGAAGCGTAACTCCATGTCGGCATAGATATAAATAAAATTGCCAGTATCGTATGAATAGGTGGTTCCTAAAGGTTCTTACAATTAGTATCCGGTGCATCCGAAACTCGTATACGAGTAGGATCGATGGTGAATTCATATCTAGGATAAAAGAAAGGAAATGGCCGTCATTGTTGATAATCGTATTGTCGGTAAAAAAGTGGAAATGTGTGCTTAAAAATTCAACATGAGACCAAATCAATCAAGTACACCACTGTATTTGGAAACATTAAAACTGAGGAAGTAGGGACACAAAATATCTTCAGGAAAATTAAGGGACATTGAACGCCTAAAAATATGGGTCATAAATTTATGGTATTACTGATATCATGCTCTTCGATGATTTGTTAAATCTGACGTCACTGTTAACATCTGACGCAATAATTAAGATTCACAGTTATGAAAAAGAATTTTTTGCATCAGCGACTCAGTACTGTCATATAAAGGTTACGGGAGGATATACGAACGTTACCTATCATAAAAAGCATAAAAAGACTGAGTTACGCGGAAAAAATGTCACGCTATTACTCTATAAGAGATAATACGGTATGGCAGACCGATGATTTTGACGAAACTTTTCCTCTACGGCTGAACGCCGCACGGGAAAATTGCAGGCGCTATGGTCAGGTTAGAATGCAATCAGAAGTTGGAATGGATGACATCAAGAAACAAACTGAGAATCCTTCTTCTTCTTTTGAAAATGGCGTCTCAGTAAGGGCAGGTAAGATTTGCATTTTTGAAGGGGAAGGTAACAAAAATGTGCCAAATAGTCACAGATCACAGGATCCATTTTACTTGTGAAGACACCGTTTGGTATCATAAAGGTTGAAATCACTTAAGATGAATATTCTATAGAAACATATCTCTACTGGGAAACATATTAAAATCTAGTTTTTCATTACCGTTGATAGATTTTAAAGTGTTCTAGACTTCTTTGAGTTAAGTATTTGAAAGTAAATTTTGTTTTATTCGCTGCATAAAGTCAAAATATTAATACAAGTATAAACAGTTGTACCACTAACTACCCTTCGATGCGAAGTGAAAAATTTAAATGGAAACATACCAACCTAAAGGGAAACGTTCCTGGTCGATCTTATAATTCATATTATCAATCAAACATACCATTCAAACAATTGTTAAATTAATACTTAAATTCTACCAGATTATAGACCCATTTCGCCGTTGAATCCATCTTACAAGCAGTTGCAAGAATTGAAAAGGACCTTAGGGATGAGGGACCAATTGACTGGGGCTCAATGCGATCCGCTGTCGGATTTTGTCAATCTTCAAAGAAACGGCAAATTATTTCGACAGTGTGAACAAGAACTTTGCAATACAAGGTGAGTGCAGATTGTCTGGCATCAATAGCGTAGCTTGACCTTCCAGATTAGGAGGGTGGAGGAGGGTCATGAGTAGTAAAATTTACCGATGAAGACATAGATGAAGAGAAGTTTGGGTGCTATTTCACCTAATGATAGACAACTTTACCGACAAACCAGGGATTTTTTGCACTAACTGAAGATTTGCCGACAAACTGATGAAGAATTGGGGGTTCACACCTCCTACAACCCCCCCCCCCTGATTAGCTACGCCCCTCCCTGGCATGTACACCCTATGCTTACAGTCGAAAGGGGATCCATGCTTCTTCCATCATACTGTTGATCCGTGTAAACTGAATTTCGCGTGTCAAGTTTTGTTAGTTTTGCCAATACTGTAAAAAGTAAACTGATTTATTCTGCAATACTTTCATTAGCACAGATTTATATTCCGTGCTATCAAAACCAATTGTGTTTAGACTGCAGCAAGCTCTTATGGAAGTGGAGGGGAAAAAGTCGATAGCTAAAAGATTGCGAGAGAGTTTGGAAAAAACTGAGGTTTCCTTGCTACGATTACAAAGCCGGGAAAGCGAGCTGGAGGCTGATCTCAATAACGCAAAAAATCAACTGAAGCAAGCTAGGAATGAACTTAAGCATGCAAAGGGTGAGTTTAAAGTAGTAATGGCCATGCTTAGATGGTAGAGCTATTAGCTTTTACTAAAAGAATATCTTATTGTAAAATACTACTTCGAAAAATTCATATTGGAAATGTTTTTTCAACCCTTGTCTGCAAACTTCTGGTTGATAACATGAAAAAACAAGTTAGATGCACCACAAATTGAACAAGACTTACATGAAGAACATAAAAAAGACCATTTCAAAGTGGTTGGTTCATGAAAAGATCAAAGCAAGTGATTATCTTAATAGAAGAAATCTTAACAGCTTTATCATCTTTACAAAGTCATTAATATCGTAAGTTACTCTTAGATGCTGCAGAAAATGAGATCGAGCAACGTATCAAAATGCAAAAGCATTTAGAGAGCCAGCTAAACTGCCAAATGGAGCGGATATTGAACCTGCACGAACAACTGGATAACACAGAAACTGTAAGAATCTTAAAAAGTTTGAATAATTATTGGAGACGTTAGGCCTATTATGCAGCTGGAAGTAGTTTCTACAAGCTCAAGTAATGCTTTTAGTTAATTCAAAAATCAACGATTCGGCCATGTTATTTGAAGGAAAAATTGGAAAAGCATTAAGTAAACTGTAAGCAACATTGCTATGAATGATTGTATACAATCTTTTAGGTGCATGTTTATAAATGCAGTGCCTGGAAGGAATGCATCCTCCAACGCGAAAATAAATATGCGTCATAGGTGGGGCTGCATATTCATTGGTGGGATTGCATATTCATTGGTGGGATTGCATATTCATGGGAAAAAATGTTGTCGTGCTAATCGAAATGTCACTTGGGTCAGCCGAGATTCGAGAAGCCGGTCCAGCTTGCATTCTCATATGAATTTAAATGTTATTAGAAATAAATTTATACGTAAATCAGGAGTAGGGCGAAATCTCGGCTAAATTTTCCATTCCGGTAGGACCTACATCCCGATACCTGCTTCTTTCGAAAATACTAAAAATCGTGGAGTGTATGTTGATAAGTTACCAGCTATGATAAAGAATAATTGCTATTTTCATCATAGAGGGCAAAACAACGAGAAAACGAAGATCTGATGTTGATGGAGAAGAAAATGAGAGAACTGAAAAAAGAGCTACAGGCAGAGAGACGAAATAAGGTTGAAGCGAATAATGGACGGGAGGAATACCAGAGAGAAGTGGACATGCTGATCAATGAAAATGATAATATGAAAAGGAGACTCAGACAGTATCAGCAAATTATAAAACAAAACGAAGATAAATATGAATATTTAAAGGCAGATTTCAACTCAATAGTAGCGAGTAAAGATAACAGAGAAATTGAAAAGAAACTTCTTGAAGACAAGCAAGCGATTGAGTGCAGGCTAAAAGAAGAGAGACTAGAGTTTGCAAAGGAGGTCAAGATCTACCAAAAGAAGTGCCGTGGCTATGAAGAGAAGGTAAAACTTATCAACATAGAAGCTGAAAAGTTAAGGTTTCAACTTTTAGATACCAAAGGTTGTCAAGAAAAGGAGGCAGAGAGGTATGCGAGAGAAAAGGAGCTCCTCGAATCTAAGCTAAGGATCCAGGAGTCTACTTTGAAGGGTATCGAAAGCTCAAACAAAGAACTCTCAGAAAATCTCAGTTCAAAGGACAAGGAAATAGCAAAGCTTTGGAAAGTAATCAATGAAGAATGTAGAATGAAAGTAAGTGACGATGAAGTGAGAAAGCTTTTGGAACAGAAGACGCAACAAGTCAGTCATCTCCAGAGTAGAATAAAAGAGATTGAGAAACAAGTTTTTTATGACAAGGAAGAGGTAGCTGCCAGGAAAAAAAGTTGTCTGGAGAAAGCAGAGGAAAAGCTGCAAGCACGAGAAGATGAAGTGAAAAAGCTGGAACAAAAGCTAGAAGAAGCACAAGTCGAAATACAAAAGATGCAAAAAGAAACGAGTGAATTTCAGATGACACTTCAACAAGAGAGTAAGGCCAAGAGAGATTTAAAAGAAAAGAATGATCAGCTATTAGTTATGGTGGGAGATCTGAGGTATTCCAACGAGAAACTGCAAGTAATGATAAAAGAGATGGAGACAGAAAATTTGCAAAGTTCTTGTGCTAGAGAGAATCTCAAGGATAAAAAAGTTGAGGCTTTGAATACAAAGATTTCAGAGTTGGAAGAGGAAATCAAAATTCAGAAGAAAGAAATAGAAAGAAACAAAGATCTAAAAGAAATGATTCAGAAATCTGAAAACGAGAAGGAAAATGCTTTGAAATTTTTGGAGTCATTCAAAATAAAATTTGAGGCAATCCAAAGCGAAATTACAAGGAAGAAACAACAATTTGAAAGAGAGATAATCTCAATCAAACAAGACCTGGAACATGAAAAGGGGAAAGGAAAGTCTCTTGCGGAACAGAACTCACAGCTTCGTAACGAGCTTTGCAGACACAGTGAAAACAAAGACGAGTTAGAAAAGGCAAAACAAGAACTGGAGAATGCAAATAAAAAGATTGAAAGGCTTACAGAAAACACTAAGAGACTAACGCATAACACTAAGGAAATAGAAGAGTGTTGTATCAGTTTGAAGAAGGAATTACAAGCAAAAAAAGATGAACATATAAAGCAAAAACAAGTTTACCAAAGGAAGGACAAAGAATTTGAAGAAGTAGTGAAAGCAAAAGAGGCTATCCGTAAACAGCTGGAAACAAGAGTGGCGGAAGCTGAAGGAAAATTCAGAGAGATAGAGAAAATGTACAAAAAAGAACAAGAAAATGATTATAAGACAAAGTTGGATATTTCGGAGAAAAATGTTGTGCAGTTGAAGAAGGATAATGAAAAGCTGCAAGAAGAAATTGCAAGGAAAGACAAATCTCTGTCTGTTCAAGCGAATGCGATGCAGAACGTTAAAGAATTATCAAAACAACTTGATGTTCTGCGTCACAATTTAGAGCAGGAGAGAGCAAGAAAGGTCCAGGGTCTTCAAAATGACAACAGCAAAAATGCAGCAGAAGACGCAAGTCTGCACGATACTCTTCGTAAAGACATCGAAAATTTAAGGGTAGAGCTTGACGCCAAACAAAGTGAGGTTCTGAAGTGTAAATCGACAATTGATAGTTTGAAGAAGGAAATCGAGTATAGAAAAGAAAAATTTCATGATATTTCTTCTGTGGTTAAGTCCGCAGAGAAAAACATGGTGGAGGTATCAGAGAAAGCGACAAAAATTGAGACAGATCTAAAGAAGAAGGTTGTTGACGCAAAAAACGAGCTCAAAGATGCCAAGACGAAGATTAAAGAAATGGAAAAACAGTGCAAAGTTTTAGAAAATGAAGTAAAGACCAGTAAAGAAGAACTTGCAGCTGTGAAAGAACAAAACAGTGATATGCAGATAAAAAATAAGAACATTGAAGTATATCTTCAAGAAAAAGAAAGGCTTAAAGCTGAAGTGAATCATCTGCAAAAGTGCATAAAAGAAATGCATGAAAAGACGAAGTGTTTTGAAGAAGAGCGAAAAAAAATGAACGAACAGAAACGAGAGCTCAGTAATGAGGTTGATTCAAGAAAAGAGGTCGCAGAAAGTCTCAGGAAGAAAAACGATGAATTAGAAAAAGCATTTTTGAAAATAAAATCTTTAGAAGTGGAGAAGCAAGAATTATTTGACAGATATCAAATCCTGGAGGCAACTATCAAAAACCTTCAAGAAGATCACGGAAGGTATGAAAGGGTTATCGATTGCTTGTTATTAAAACTGGATTTTAATTCCATTCATCTAAAGTCAATGTAACAGGTTTAAATGTCTCAGTATTTCTCAAGGCATATCAGCAGTTGCCATATGGTCGCGTAAACCAGATCATGTATATTTCTACCTATACAGCAATAAGCACTTTATGACAGACTGGTAAAACAGAAATTTTCAACCTTGATTTTGATGCATATCACAATAGAAGGTTTGAGAATCTATTGCACTTTCAATCACTGATGCTATTTCATAATACAGTAAAGAGTGACTTTGCTGTAAATGGGATTACACATTTAATTAAGATTTAATATCAATACCTTATGATGTAAGATAAAAAATGTTCTAATCTACATGAAAATATAAGATTTCCTTTATAAAACAACAAATGAAAGTAAATATAATATCTATTTAATTATTTTGAAGCGTTATTCTAAAATTTAAGATATCTTCTTATTTTAGTTGCAAGAAAGAAATAGAGCCAAAATATGAGTCAGACTTTGAAGAAGACAACGAAATGACAATTGCGGCAGAGGCAAATACCAGTAAATGCGAAGAGAAAGAAGAGGATGAAGTACAGTTTGATGATGATGATGATGACTTTTGGAATACACTTATTGATGATGTAAACAGAACAGAGAAGACAAGTATCTATGAAATGCTTTCCAAACCAGGTCCTGCAAATATATCAATGACAACAGATGAATCAAAAAGTGACGTTGGAGTGAGTACTAGTAATTCTAGTGACGGTCCGCTTCTGACTTTTTGTGGCAATCTGGATGCAGATGTGAACAATGTGCAAAAAGGTGAGTTAAATTTTATGACACTTTGTTAATTAGGACGAAGAGAAATACTGGAAAAATGCATGATAGCGGGGAATTCTTAGAGCACCATTGTTTTCACATTTATTCACAATGTAAGGTATTGGCAAGCAACTTTGCTCGCTAAAAATAAGCAAAAGCCTAGAAAGAATGGAGTGAGAAATGCCTCAGTAGACATCTTCGTTTTACAGACCCATAATTATTCCAGGTTCCGTATTATTATTCACGTTTTACAGACCCTAAAACCAAGAGGAGTATTAAGAAAGTATGAAAATAATGTAAGACAAAATATATAGTATAACCTGCTGACTAAAATCATACTTGTTTCTTTTCTTTATTTATACAGAGACAGAAACAAGCAATGGGTTCGTTGATGAAGATGAAGATGTGCTAAGCCAATTTATCAAAAAACAAAAAAATGCTAGGTCTAAACCACGTATGACGTCACATCAAAAGCAAATGATGGAAGAATTAGGCCTAGATGGTGAGCAGTTGTATCTTGATGACTTAGTTGTCGAAGTTGAGGACAGTGATGAAGACGATAACAAGATTCCTGCAGCACTATTGAAGTCAGAAGATAGCACAAAAGTTCCAAAGGAAGAAGTTTATTCCGTTAACACGAGCTCGAAGCAAGGGCAAGGCGAAGCTAGTTCAAATTTTTACCTCCCAACACAAAAACCTTTGACAAGAAACACTCAGCTGCCACCGCTGCGCAGGAAACCAGACACTTTACCACCTCTTAGGAAAAACACGAATTAACTAACTTTTTTAGATATTTCAAACTATCTTATAAGTAAATATAACCATTTTTCGTGTAATAAAAAAACTTTATTGTGATCTTAACCAATAAAGAGTCATGTTTATTGAGATTCACTGCTGAAACGGGTCGGGTTTAGTTTCATATCTAGTTCATCAATAGGCCTAAAGTACGGATAGTTTTTAAATTGCAACAGTAAAAGAGATTAATTATATTCAATGAAAAATTAATAAACAACTACAAAGATTTGTTTATTCTTCCTTTAAATTTTTTCATTATCTCATTTGCAGATCCAAAAAAATGTGTGACAGGATATAGATATGGGAGAAATGCATGATTCTAGTGAAAACAGACAATAGTTTATAAATATAGCAAAATTACACTAAATTACAACAAAATTTTATCAACAGTACAAGAATGATATTTCATAATATTTGAGGTTAAGTTACGGAATCTCACCTGAGTTCCTGGCGAGTTGAGCGCTTAAAGGCATTCAGCCGAGTCAATCTTTTTGCAACGAGGATTATATCGTTGAATAAGAAGATTGTCACTTCACGAACATGAATATAGGCCCTGTAATGGAAAAACATGAAAACATTATAAATCAACCGCTAATAGCAAAATCTATTTTCTGCTCGGTCCCCGACCCAGACTAGGTTCAGTAAGAGACAGAGACAGAGACAGACCCAAAGGAAATCCTCTGACCGTGCTTCGATTTGATCCTCGACTTAAGAAACTGCTCCCTGAAATATCGATAAGTATCAGTCTGGGCCTATATCACATGAATCTTAGTCAGGGGGTACCTAACAAAAAATAATTCCAATCGAAAGGAACTACCACTTGTTAAATCTGGATAATTATATGGTTTAATTGTATAGAGCTCCTAAGAGAAGAAGATGAAAATTTCAACTTTTTTCAATTAACTTTCAACAAACGAGTAGAATGAAAAGCTGGAATAACAATACTTGACATAGTAGTTGTAACTGTTTTCTAATAAATCTGTAAGTCAGCTACTTATTATGAAGCCTTTATACACAAAATAAGTCTTTCAAAAATGACTTGAAGTGACTATGACTATGATACTCAACAACCACAAGAGAAGAGGATATTCCCTAAGTAACAATGGCAATCCTTGGTGACGTTTGATTTCATAATTACAACTGTGTCCAACAATACACCTAAACCTATCTGATTTAGAGAAAGTCTAAGTAGAAACTTCTTGTGAAAGATAAGGTAAAATAGTAAAGTCATCAGTAATCAATAAGAAAAAAGACTAACGATCTGTTGTCATCATCTTCATTTCCTTTTAAAGCAAGTAGCTCTGAAAGCTCCATTTCTCTGAGAAAGATTCTGCCTTGCTGGGTCAATGGCTGCAAAATAGAAAAACATGCAAAGATAAAAGAATGCATGAATAGAGAGAGAAACAACGAGATCGTCCGGTGCAATCGTTCTGTATGTAAATGGACGAAACATGATGGAATACTAAAAACGCACGCAAAATATCTAACATCCTAGATACAAACTCTGCCAAAAAGGCTTGGAACATCCAGTTGCTTAAGCGCTGTTTCTTGTAAAAGGGGCGACACTGTACTCCGACTCCCCCAAAACAATGTTGGCTGTAGAGTTAAATATCAGAGTTATCAAAAACGAATCTATTGGACAGCACCGAATTTCTTAACTTTGCATAAAACAGCATTTATCCATGGCGGAGAAAGAGATGCAGTATAAAATACTTAAAGATTTTGCATATTAGGCAAACGTTGTACGTATAGTAAGGTAAATTCCATGTACAGGATAGTTGAAACACTACTTTCTCAAGCTCAACAGCTGATGACAGTAGTTTTGACAGGCCCCCCTGTGTTATCAAAGCTGTATTGCTTTTAAAGACGTAGAACATTTGCTAATCAGATCTTTACCAGAAGCTATCGAATATCGAAATTTCGCAACATTGCAGTGAATTGAAGGAAATTGCTGTGCAAAGGTTTTTTTGCTAATACAGCTCAGTTTACAAATATAGCTCAGTATATATTACAGTTTTTAGATGGCAAATTGCAAATATATAAAACTGACCTTTAAAAGCAGTAAAAGCACTTGGAAAAACACATGACAATATCAACTATAAAAACTACAAATAGTTGTTATAGAAATAAATACAAAAGTAGTAAAATTATTCAAGCTTTTTTTAAATTTTTACCGGACAGCCTTTGATTCTCGACTGCAGCTCTTTAAACCTTTCCTCCCTTTCAACTCTTTCTTCGGCCTAGAAAGATATTACTTCTAATTAGTCATAAAACTAAGGTTTTACACTTGTCTAAGTGCAGATGCAAAGTCTATGAGAACCCCACTTGCTTCCCGGTCTCCTTTGAATCGTACAAAGTGGCCTAAGAATAGTCTCTATGTTATGTAAAGGAAAGAGGCCTTTAAATATCTATTCACAAAGAAGCTTTCTTAATAGCAGACACAAAGCTACAGAACTAGAACTCTTCGTTTCAAAGAAACCCTTAAAACCATGAACTCTAATTCCCAAGTAACTATTTTTTGAACTTTGGAACGTGAGGCACCCTTTCTCTGTATCATATAAAACAGCAAAGAACCAAGTGTCAAAGGATGCAGATCAGACTTAATAACGTTTAAAGCCCATTATTTTATCTGTTCTTTTAATGGTTACCGAGAGTATCTAGGAGACGCTTGTGTTTTTGATTGAGAAATACACAGCAGATTGTTTAGAATCAACCGTTAAAAATTCAAGAAAAACAGAGCCGATTCGTTCAAGGAAACAACAAGTTAGAAATATTCAAGTCGAAGGGGTGAATATTTTAGAAAAACTTACTTGTATAAAGCAGTCGGAAATTTCTTTCATTTTTCTTATTGATTTTGCGATATATTGCCGATCTTTATGTTCGCTTGGTGTGCATTTTAACAAAGACGAGAGAAGGTCTGCACGCCTGTAGAAGACACAAAATTTGTCACAAAAACAGTTCGGTGCAACATAGTGTAAACAAACATAATTAGTCGATACTTTCAAAGGATAAACTAGTGAGTTGCATTTAAATGACTGAAAATGCATTTGAATTGCAAAAAAACTGGGATATAAATCATGCAATGATTCTACTCATGGAATTATAAGAAATGCATCTACTTAACAAAATACAGAGTCACAAGTAGGGTACAATTGATGGGATACGTTTTATTTAGTGTTTAGTCAAAAGAAGATAATCTTCATGTGCAAATATTTTGTTGTTTTATAATCTTTGATAAAATATCAGTTTTCAGTACCTTGAATTTATTTTCGTTGGCAGCAATAACAGCTCTTGAACACTACACAGAAAGAAGATAACTAAGATTATCATATAAGATGAGGAAGGGGGGTTTATGTTAATTAATCACTTGTGTCTAATTGACAATAATTTAAAACCATCCAATTAGACACAACTGTTGAAGGTGGCAACAACAGGTTGCTTTTTAAGGAATAACAACAGTATCATCTTTAAGTTTGCAAATACAAATGCTTCAGCTAAGTATAGATTTAAATAAAAACATGAACATATTGAACAATGGCTAAGCTGCATATTTAATAAGTCTAAGAATCAAATATGTTTTTCGTTTGCTAGAGGAGTTAGAAAATATCAAATAATACTAATCATTTCTGGTAAGCATTTTCCTTTTTATCATCATCCAACGTTGCAATATGGAAAGTAGCACTTTAGCATTGTTCGTTATACTGCCATGAAGAAATACTAATAAAGAAATATTAAGAAACCCCTTGAAGCGATTGTTTCACTATCGTTTTCTTAAGCAAACACAGAAGCTGTGGCATGGTAAATGAAACAGTATTGGGTTTTCTGATTAAATAACAAATACTTCGGTCTTCAGGTATTTTCCAGCAGATCTCTTCAAGTTTGCAGAATGTAAAATTGCGAAACTATAAGCAGTGAACCTTAGTTGTCTTGACTCCATGGCTTTCTTTTGTCGATCCAGGAATGCACGGAACGATGGAGTTTCTTCAATGCACTAATAGAGATATTTCATGAACTCATAAACGAACATGAAGTAAAGTCATAATAACATTCAAGGTATAAAGAAATTGGTTGGTATCATCGATAACATAAACCTGAATTCCTACAGGATATTTAAAAACTAAGCAGAGCAGTAAATATCAAGTTATAAGGAAGAAGGTAAGGGAGAGTATTCGAAAATTTCCTCAAAAGAGCTGTAGTAAATAAAACCCTATCTGGTTGGAAAAGTTTTATCCACAATGTTTAATTTTTGAAATGACACAATTTAGAAGAAAATAAAATATGTAATAAGGTATGATACTAAATGGACTAAATTATTGCTTTGTTCAAAGAATCTAAATTAAACAAATAATAGTTAACCAGATTAACTCATAAGAAAAATACTTAAAGGTTAAAATTAAAAGTTTAATATTCTCCTTTTCATCAGTTTTTTAAGTCGAAAAAAATGGATAAAGGAATTAAGAAAAAATTCATATAGAATATAGATATATTGGAGTCGTATAAAACATAGAAATCTGTAATGTAAAATGTGAAGAAAATTAGACTTTATGTTTCCGCTTTTTCATCTTTTGAGAATATTTTAAGTCGTAGCCTGAAAATAATATTTTCAACTATTCGAACCACATATATACTTCATCTTATATTGAATGCATTGGAAATATTACGAGGCAATTAAAATATGGTTTTTGAAAATTTTCTTACCCTTTCTATTGTCTTCAAGATTGTCGGGTAATTTTTGAGAAAATTTGAGTAACCTTTGAGGTTGGTCGAGAAAGACAAATAAACATCGCCAAGGCACTAAAATTGAAGAAATCTGAATGTTGATATCATTTAACAGCTTGATAAAAAAATTCTTTGTATATTCTAAACAGATAAGTTGTTGATTGATTGATTTAACGTGTAGAGAACTGTGTTACGAAACATTTAAAAACTGAAAGACGAATTTTGAAGAGAGACCTCAACATGGCTTGGGGACTATCGTCCAATAGAATTAACTCTTTGTTTTGTGAGAGCAAAGACGGTTAGTCACTTCTGGATTCAACTTTATTTCAAACAATTTTAGCTTCATTATTGGAGCAGTCACCCCAACTATAGGAGGAAATTTTTTGTCACCTCTGGATATGAGGTAGTCCTTTCTCATTATTCTTTGAACGGAACTCTCAGAATATAAACGACAAATCAAACAGTGAACGATATCCAAAAAATTTAGGAAAGATTTTGATGAAGTGTACAACATACAATACAAAATAGCGAACGAATTAAACATAGACGAGCAGTGAAAAACAAAATCTGTTGAAGTAATAATATTCATGCTCGTGCCGTAGAAAAAGATTTGTTACTTTTAAGCAGCGCATATCTTTTCAATCAGTATGTTTGGATCACGGCTTTGAGCCGTACGGTATTTAGTCAAAAGACTCTGAATATCTTTGTATTCAACATAACAGCACTTTGAATTTCCTTGATCATTTAGCAACTTCCCTACATTTATTAGTAAGACCTTCACTGAACAATCTCAGCTAATATAAATCCACGCCTGGCACGCCAAAAGAGCTATAGCTACCTATGGACGTCTTAGAGCACTACCCCTTTCATTAAGATTTAGCTTAAGTGCTACTCATGATTCACTAACATGCGCTCTCAGATCCTCTTCAACTTTAGCTGTAAAAACTAAGAGTACGCCTCAGAAATGCCTGCTTCTATCAAAAACGTCAAATAAATAAATACAGCTTTTTCTAGATTTCACCTCATTCTTCTTTTTCTATTCATCACCGCAAAGAAAGAAATAATATTATGAAATTTTAAAATCATATTCTTTAACGTTAAAGGACTAGATTCCTTGAAGAGGATATCTAAATCCGTGCTTTTAAAGCCAAGAAAATCGACAGTAGAAACAAACCTGTTCTGAATTCCAAGAATCTAGCCTCTTTTTGAGGTCGATGGCTAGTTGACTGAAATGCAAAACAGTTACAAGCTAAGAATGGCAACAAGTACGAAACCTAAAATGGCGTTAAAATTCGAAGATTTTCAATCTATATGAAAAAAACTTGCTTAATCTTCTTTAGATGAGACTGTGAAGCAATGCTAGATGAAAAGAAACTTTAGACACAAACTTGAAAATAAAAGAAGCTAGGGATTCTGGGAAATCTTACTTTAGTTTGTGACCAATTCTAAGGAGACAAGGCCACTTGTATTTTATTGTTATAAATAATTTTATCAGCGTTAATGCAGTGCATTAAAACTAACCTTGAGATCCTTTCTAGGGCATCGCAGTCACTAAATATCATTTTGACTGAGTTGTTCGATATGATGGCCCTAAAATATCAAAATAAATCATTAACAAAAGGCACTAGGGAAATATGAAAAGCAGGACATACATCACGTGTGTACACATATATTTGCAATATCACTATAGAAAAAGCTAAAAGACAATAGAAGACTGGTACCTACTCACCTGTTTGACTGGACGCAGGAAGCCAATGGCTTGAAGTAAACATTCTTCAAAATCTGTAACTTATCTCTATACTGACATTCAGTTTGATAAATAGCAAAAGCACATTGAGTTCTCTGCTCTACTTGTGACGCACCAGGATCTTCATTTATCTAAAATAGGGATACAACCAAAGTAAGTTACTTTCAATGGGAATATAACACCTTCCTTTCAAGATGGTTTTTAATAGAATATTCAGGTAGGTGCATTACTGCTTATCAAGAGCTATTTTTTAAGAATCCAGAGAGCCGTATAAATTTCCTGCATAGATAGATATTGGAGTAGTCTTTATGCAGGATCAAATAAAAGAAGTATCTGATAATTAGATACTTGACGGCTGCGCCATAAGCTATTCTATATAACTGCTAAATTTATTGATTTGCTTCTTAGGCCGACTGTCTTCCTTGCACTGCAAAACGATCATCTCTCTTATTCGATGTTGAGTAACCCTGGCACAATTCTGCGCAATTTACCCACAGCTTTCTTAAACAGGGCCTTTTAACACCGCAACTAGGGGGCAACTGCCATTCCAACCCCAGACTTAAAGATAGGTGATTTTCCTTTTCTTTGTCTAGAAAAAGACTTGCCCCCTCTCTCCTAGCTGATTCCCGGTCGATGGGCTTAAAAGAGGTTTAGATTTAACCAAGTTGCCTTCTCTTTGCTTTTGGCAACAGATATGATAGAACAGAGTTAGAACACCCATTAAGAAATACCATAATTTACAAAAATAGCTTACTCAAATTGAAGTTACTTAAGAAAATAAGAAAACATACATTCATGCCGTCAGACTTTTCACCACCACTTTCACTTTGCTCAGAAATCATTCTAGTGATTGCCCGCAGTCGATTCTAAAATAAAGTATGACGTCATAAAAAACTTGTGACTCGAGCTTAGTCAAACAGTAGTTTGAATATAAAGATCTGAAAGACTGTTATTGAAGAAGAGATCAAAACTGCCCAATTCAAGCTTATAACCAACATGTCATAATTTTTCTTGGAAATTTACTGCAGCAGCTTAAGAGACCGCGAGGCCAAAAACATCTGCGGAGCCCTTGTTCTTTACCATTGTTGTTATTTTCTTAGGCGTGGGTCTCTTCTGAGTACCGTGAGGCTGGTCCCCCTGCCCCCCCCCCCCTTAAAAACCATCACCGGACATTCATGCAATAGTTATGTGATTAATGAAGAAATTATGAATGCATCCAAAAAGATTTGTTACAACGCTGATATTCCATGTTACAATTCCTTTAGTTAAAATACTAAAAATTGTACAGCAAAATTGTACTTTCGATCACCTGAAAACGGAAAAATTCGCTAACTCGAATAATTTTTATTGTTAGAGGTTCAAGTTATCGGGATAATATATTCATTATATAGTATTTCTTCTTCAATGAACTCCAGTTCTCTGCTCACCCGTGCAAATGCTTAGAAACGCAAGGGCAGAAACATTGATGCAAACAGACGGTAACAAGGCTGACAAAAACAATTTCAGCTACGAAGCCCGGACCATGCTATGTTTTTCAATGCTTATTCGAAGAAGGCTGTGAAATTTAACTCATCAGCGAGAGAGAAAATGCGAACTGTTCTTGACTCTAAAGGAAAATTGCAGGAGCAAGCTACAATTCCAGGAAAATTGTTGAGATTTTCGAAAACTGGGAGTGGCAATATAAACGAATTTGATCTTTTCCTCGAGGTCAATTTTCTCAAGGAACATAATATTCCCCTCTTTTCTTAGAAGCAACTATGTTAGGGCCTTCCTGATCAAGAAATACAGGTGGTGCTTTTAGCCCAGCTTACGTTTGTTTCTTCCTCTGACAACAGATGGAACTCTGACGTGCAAACAGAAGACAACACACCACACAGCTTTTCAACTTCAATGACGTCTGCGATTTTCATCAACTTCCCAGCAAGGTTCCCTAAATATATCAACAACACTACTTTAATGCCAAGGAAATCATATAGAAGCAGCAGTTGGTGTATTGCAGTTGACTTTTTATAATTGTAGTTTTATCTGTCAGTTTGTTTATAATGTTTCTAGACAGTCTCACTTAAATCATTCCAAATAAAATTATGTTTAAATTTTCCATCAAAGCAGAAGTCCATTTCTCTTCAAAGAACATAATTAGTCTAATAACAATATTTGATAACTCTTTAAAACACGAAATTTTTTTCTCACCAAAGTGGAATATAGAATTTCCAAACAAAGCGAAATAATTAGGACATAACTACATACATTTAGATGAAACTTAAGTTCGGTAATGATCAACTTTAAATCTGTCTTCAATATACAGCTGAAATGCAATCTTATTACATGAAGTGGAAATATATTTAAGCTTCGTACAAAGAATACTACTGAAGGCCTTAATTTTTCTTGATTATAAGCCATGGTTTTACAGGGAGCCAGGCTTCATACTTAGCCCCCCTAAACGTTCTGCATCAGCTAAGCCCGTGATAAAAGATACGAAGAACGATTCAAACCAGAATTAAATATCTTCCTACCAATCATTCTGTTGATTATTCCCGAATACTCCTGGTACAGATGACTTCTTAACAAGCTCCGTAAAGATCTCATCGTTTCCTATAAAAAAATCAAATAGCTTAAGCTTTTCGATATTCAGTTTTCTTAGTTTGTTATAAACTACTAGTTTCTTGCTTCTTACTAAAATTTAGTAAAGATTTAGTAATAATTAAACAATATTTAGAGTCTCACCTCCAAGTATTCACAATGATTCGTCCATAACATTATTCTGTTACTTTTGAAGTACTTTTCTTGAGGTTTGCCTCGACCAGTCGAGTTGATCCATTCTGTTTCCACTAAAATGCATTCGATAAACATGATAGATTAAACTCCTCAGGAAAAGACCCACAATAGCCTTGGCAGTGTTAGCATTCTGTAGGGTGTTTATCGTTAAAATGTCCTATTGACAGGTCTTGAGAAATAAAAAATTTTTATCCTGGTAGTATTCAGAAAAAGGTGAATTTATTTCACGATGTTAGTGTCATCCAGTGTCAGTCATGTAAGCATATCTCTTAAAACAATAATCATAACATTTCTGTTGCATTTCCCAAGTTATACCCACTTTATTTCATTTTCAAAGTTGTGGAAAAATTGCAATAAACTAAAGAAATGTGAAATATTTCGATCTTAAAGGATACTGGACACCTAACTAACTGATCTCCCAGGGAGAAAAAGTAGGAAGACAATCCAATTAACATTTAAGTAAATTGATTTGGATGTTAACAGATAAGCATGAGCTGTGATCTGATTTCTGGCTTTGAGTTAACCTCATGAGGGACAACTTACTACGAGTCAAAGAGCCATCGTAACCCGCTGGGCACGAGAATGGAGTGCCAGTTATCCGGGACAGTTCTTCCATGAGTTCAGTTCCATTTTCTGTAAATGAAAAAACACAGTGAACTCAACGTAATCGACGCACACAACAGAGATCATGAATACTGAAAGCATGCTGGTATTACCAATATTGATACTTGCACTATATAAACTGGCCAAAAATACAAGACAAAAATAAGGCAATAACTCACAGAATACTTACAAAGACAGCAACGGTAAAACTGCTAATAGAGCATTAAAGCAATTCAAACCATTGAACCCCATTAAAATCACTGATAAAAAATGTAAGTATTTAGAAATTGAAGACCACACCACAAAAAGAAATATATCAATCTGGGAGCTTCTGACGGCTGATGATTGCCTGTTTGTTGAGAGCGATATTTTCGATTCGAAAATCTCATAGTTTATTACTGAAAGGGCCTTTCAGAGTACGAATGCTGCGTGGACAGAGCTGTAAACGCGATGCCTCATAGAATAGGATGATTCTGTGTTGCTACTCTGAAACCTAAGCTAAATTCCATCATCGTGAAACTAATATTGTTGGCTAAAGAAGATTTACCAATCTTTTGGAGCGCGTTTCCTTTGGTGTGTAGAGCAAATAGTAACTATGCTTTTTGTACAAGCTAGTAGCTACGGTAGTGAGGGCTTTTACATCGAAAATTAAAAACTGTCATTGTAGATAGAGTATAAGAATTCACAATAGATGAATCTTAATATCCACAAACAAGACAAACCTGATGCAGCTAGCGGCCAGAAGATATCAACGCATGCTTCTTTGCTGTCAGCAATACGAGTGCAAAGCTCCCTCCAAAACTCTTGCATCTGCGGATGCTTCAGAGTCGAAAGGGAAAGGGTTGTACCTGATGGAACAAAAACATGGCGCTACAACACTTTTCTCTTATTCAGCAATAAACATATTAGGATAAACAATACAGAAAAGAGACAGCATCACACATTACAGAGATTCGCTAGATGGAATCTTGCCTGTTACAGTTACGATAAAGAAGTACGTAACAAATTTTGCTTGTTACCGAAGACCTTTACAGTCAGACCATGCCAAAACTGGAAGAAATGCTCTGAAAACTGTTTAAGCAAGTTAAAAGTCTGTCCAGTTCACAACTTAACTTTTAATTTTCCTGACAATGGCATTAAGCTTGAGACTCGGAGTTGCAACTCAGAACCATCCTGTTTTACATAAAAAATCAATTGCTTATTCATGTGTATTCTAGAAGCAGCTTTTCGTATTTGTCCAAAGTGGTTCTAGCAAAATCCAGATAGAAATCTTTACCATACGTATATCACTGGTTTCCTTTGAGACTTAATGCTATTTGAAATGCATTAGGCACCATCAGTCAGGCTTAGGGCCACATCTAGAGACCGCTAAACTTCTTGTTTGAATCAAGTACAAAAACGGGACAGAGAATCAGAGTCGTAAACTTTCATCTTAGAACAATTCTTCTAGAAATTTCAACCTTATCTGAAAAGAAACAATAGCTGATTGCATACCTTCAACTATTCTAGCGGTGCCCTGTGTCTTGTCACCGTCAACACAAAAACCAATGCACCTGGAAGCAAATTGTGCAGGTCATCAAATATACTCTAGCCATTGCAAAGTATTTAATTTCAGAACATTTGTATTCGCATATTTTATACTAATAAATGTTCATGAAGCATATTCTTAACGTATTCTAATAGATAGTATCAAATAAGTAACAAGGAGCATTTTAGTCACCAAAGAGATAATACATGGCTATGCTAACAGAGCAATAAACTGAACATTTGGGACGACAAAGCGTTAGTTGCTTTGATAAATTCTGTTTTCTCACTTCCTCTGAACCCATCTATCCTGCCTTTAATGCGAACCCTATCATCAAGCCTTTACAAGGCAATATATGTGTTCACTATACAAGATATCTTATTCTTAAAAAATAGCAAAACAGCACCGTTAAATAAACTTATCTTAAGACTATCTCATTTCAATCCTTGTTCTGTGAATCAGCAAATAGTTAAGCTAATAGTTTGGTGTCAATTGCGTGAGTGTTTTGATAATGCAGCCAATTATTTGCATTGGTCCAATGGGATACACCAACATTAAGGTGTTTTATTGGAACAAATTTAAGCCAAGACGAAGAAGCAGGTCACCTTGCAAATCTGCCGCACAGCCTTAGCTTGAGCTTCGTAATGAGGTCTTCTAATGTTGTACCCTCGTAATCATACAAAATAGCAACAATACCAAAAAGGGTACAGTCCAGAAGTAGCTAAAAATAAAAATGATTTAATAAGAAATACAGTAAGACAATCTACCTCTTGTGTGAGATGTAAGAGCACATTTTGTGCTAAATCAGTTATAAGAAATATTCAAAAAAGACCTGTTTCTTTAATGCTAAAAACAAAATATTAAGAGATCAAAATAGTTCCCTCTAGTCTTGTATAATGCATAAAACATGCTGAAATATACTGTTATGGAAACTTTTAGCAGAAGTAAGTAGACAAATGTTGTAAGATTGATCTATTAACGCTGTAACTGGAATGTGCTGTGTTGGCATTTCGAGTTTTAAATGTGCAGGAATATTTTCTAAGGATATAAAAACAACTCTGGCTTTAGAGCATTGCTGCAAGATCTGTTTATCTAAGAATATAATGTTTAATTTCATTGCTTATGGTTAAATATATTTTAACAAAGAAGGAGATTGAGTACATTGGATCATTGTTTCTAGCTGCTTTTGAGATCTGTTATTCTCGAAGTCTCACCTCCTTCGATGGCATTCTTGAAGATATAAACAGCACAACAGGTTGATCATATAAAAAGTCGTTCCTTATCTTGGAATCGTCCATTGTAGAGACGTGAAAGGCTTTGCTTTCAAGGGCACGTCTAAAGGTGGAAATAAACAGAAGTTAATAAAAATATTAACCAACTGGTATGTGTTTGGTCTAAAAAAGTATATATAAATATTGTGATCGTCAATATCACTGCGGTTACAGTATATATCAATATCCTATTACAGTATAATCCGGTTATAACGTACTTTGAGGGACCAGTGTATTAAGTACGTTATATCCGAAGTACGTTGTAACGAGGGTAAGTAAAAATTGACTAAAACCAAGCAAACCTTTTGTCGGGACCAGGCACACCAGTACGTTATATCCGAAAGTACGTAATAACCGAGTACGTTATAACGGGATTCTACTGTACCAAGATATAACATAAAATACTGCTACAACAATCGAGTAGAATATAGACTTGCTTAATCGAAATGTATTTCAATGAAAATATATTTCAAGCTTATTTGACAGATACCATATTTCTAAGTTTATAAAAATCTTGAACGTATCTTAACTAGGAGTATATTTGAATCCTTCATCCATCAAGACACAGTTTATTTCTAAAAAATCTACTTCGAAGTTGACAGGAAAAATCAAAGCGTTGTACAAAAAGCAGCTAACTGTAATTAATGTAACGTAGGAAACTTATAGCTCTGGCTTTCTAGATATTGAAAAGATTGATTTTCTTTCCTTGACGAACATTCATTTTTTTCAAATTATCTGTTGTCTACCTGGTTTGATACAGTGACCCTGCAGTTTGCTTTAAGCGCCTTTCCACACTGTGGTTTTCAATTCCTACAGAGAAATAGAATATATTTGTACGCGGAAGTCACAGAAAATCTTGAAGTTTATTAGAGATATGCTTGTTTGAATCGATAAATTTAAAATTTGTTGTCAATTGCTAAAGACCTTATAGAATCAAATTTTCAAGGAAACATTAAAAACAAACAAAGAGGCAGCATAGCAGCATATCATTTTGAGAATTTGTTACCTTTCCACAAATCGAATGGCATTTGTTAAAAATTTTAACATCCTTTAAGAATTAATTTTAATGCTCACTCGTGTCTTTTTGAGTGTTTTTCTTTGAAAATTCAGCAAAAGAGCGTCGTTTCAATGACAAATCTTTCTGTGAATATGAATTGCCTTTATCGTCAGTTTTTCCACGCTGGAATGAAAATAAGATAGATTAATCAGCCACTAGAATCGCATAGAAACCTCTTTGCAGCACAGAAGGCACATGAAAAGGCAAGCATCATAGAAAATGTCTGCTCAATGCTGATCAAGAGCGGTACCTATGCATAGGATTAAATTATTCGGGTGCACATCTCATATATCATGAGGCTGTGTTAGAAATTATGGAGGGCTTGGAACCCTACACGCCCTATCCTATTCTTTTTGAGACGATTTGCAAATTTTAACTTAGGAATGGCTGATTTGAAAAACTTGATCGCTCGAAGATGCGGTTTGAAAAGGTCCACTGCGCTTCCAACTTCTAAAGCTCGTTTCTTTTCGTTGAAGTAGACTAGAGAAATTGTCATTTTCTACCTTAAGTGTCTGGTAAGATTGGAAAAATACATGCCAAAACTTTGGCTTTAAAAGCTTAAAAACTTTGGCTTTAAAAATCTGTATACTCGATCGAAGGCGCGTTATTGAATGTCCTTCCATTATCTTTAGAGGGGACAGGAAAGCAGTATGAACAAGGATCGTCTACGAATGTTGTTGCTACGTCATTTTAGTGAAGAGTTTAGTGAGGGGATAAAATTTCAAGTTTAATCAGGATACGGGGACGAGAATTCGTATATTTTCTAGCAATAGAAACAAAAATGACTTGAATTTGCTACAAACCCTAACATTTTCTTGGACATTTATCAGGGCCTTTGCTACGTACTAACCAGGGGGGAAACTATCCCTGCAGCCCCCTGTAACCTTTCATTGTTTAAAAGAATAGGCTAGTGTTATCATCTTTACATAAACGAAAGCTTGCCCCCCCCCCAGCTGATTTACACTTGAAATGGCTAGGACACTTTTCAAAGGAAATATACAAATATGAGAAACATGTTTGTAATCTAGTACCATTAGCTGGCGGCCAAATTTCAGAGTGACTGGTCTTGTAAAATCAGCAGGAACACTCCTGCTTCTTTGATGGCCTCCTTCGTTATTGTTGGAATCCGGAGGTCTGGGCCTATTTGTCATTGATGTGCTCAGAGTTGACAAAAAATCTTTCTCAAACAGGCCAGGATTTTTGCCAGTTGTCTGCCACTGTGGTCGGGGAGAGTCTAAAATTAAGTTGATATCTCATCAAAACATTTAGAAGATTTAAATAAGCCAGAAAAAGAAACATTGGATGAAATCAACAGTGATAATCCATCTAAGTGGCAAGAATATTTTTAGCTGAGGGTGTTTGATACAATGATGTTGAATATTCACTAAGAATTTTGAAAATTTTCTAAAACACTAGGGGCAACCTAGATTTTAGGGGCTGTTAAGGGTAGAGAAGTGGCACTTGTTTCATTACAATGCCAAACAAATTAAAATGATTTGTCCAATTATACATATAATCTTCACAGAAATGCTGCCCATTTCAAGTATCTGCTAAAAGGGGAGCTTTATAAAGAAGTATAGCATTGTAATGGGGGCTAAAAAGAGATCTTTGAACACTGATTTCAACCAAGGACCAAGATACCAAGAGAGCCCTCCCCCTTCCCTCCCCCCCCCAAAAAAAACTTAAGTTGCATAAGTAAAATACTTTTTTTGTAGAATATGGCTGTTGTTACACTGTTTTATCAGAGCTGCCTCCACCCCCCCCCCCCCTGTATCTCGGTCTTCAATTTCAACAGGTCTAAACTTAAATAAAAAAAATTTGCAGTTAATATTGATGAATATTAATTGTTGCTATTTATCAATTGTTCAATTTCATGATCAAAATAATATTGAATACAGTTACTGCTTACCATGAACAATGGCAGAATCCTTCAAGTCTGTCTGGTCTTCATACTCATATTCAGAGTCATTTTCATAATGATCATTTTGAAAAACCACACTATCTTCAATTGAAATCATATTTTGACTATTTGCAGGACCTCTGACATGGTATGCAGACTGAAAAAAACATCATATCTTGCTTAAAATCACGATATAATTCAATTGCAGAAAATAAGGTTGCTTAAATTGCACATACAACTTAAGATCAGCTTTTGCTGTTGATCAATAAGCAATTGAATAAATACATTTCAGACATGGCACAACAACTAACAGTGTGTAGCCATACCAGACATTACTGATCATTCAACCAATGACCAATAGACTAATACTTACAACTTTGTGATCAAGGCTCTGAATACAGCGTATATAGTGTAGTTTCCATGCTCCATACTCCTTCTTGTTTGGAAAAACTGGTAGCAGCCACCCAAGCCTAACACATTTAGGCATCCAGACTGCATCTTGCTCACCAAGAAAGTGCCAGTGCCAGCATACTTGAGCCACTTGACAAAGACTTTTTGGATCCAAGAAAGAAAAGATGTATAATGAAATCCACCTTGGTAATACTGTTGTGAAATCTTGTCTTAAAATTGGAGATCTTTGAATAAACCATCCTTCAATGTAAGCCAATTCCATGGCAGTGCATCTCCGCAGTAATGACAAGAAGAACCTGCATCGCTGGGATGAATCCCACACATCAAACTGCAATATTTAAATAAGAAAACACACCATGTTATATCAGAAAAGTAAGCTTGCAGGAATAGGCAAGAGCTAGAAGTAGCAGCATGCATGTAATCTTAAAAGCAAGTCCTGTGGCTTATTCCTTGACAAATGAATTTTGGTCACAAATCTAAAATTAGGAATTTTTTGGTTATTTTAAGCATGATAGAAATATTTAAGCATTATAGGGATAAATGGATACAGATAAGATTTGCTTTGAATGGTAGGATTAATAGAGGGGATGGTAATGGATACAACTGGATCCCCTAAAGAGAATATGGAGAAGTTTTAATAAGATGAAAAAGAAAACTTGTGGAAAAATACTTATCTGAAAGATAACGTTCACAACTTTGTCTTTCAGATTTTGCTCTAAGTGCTCAATAAAAATGCAGGTATGGACAGATGCAAAAATACATTTTCTGCATTGTAAGCCCTTAGTTTTGATACTCAAGGTATGTGCAAGGGCAGGGTATCCACAGCTCTATTGCTCCCACCATTTTGATAAAAATGACAGGTGCACTAGTGGCAAAGGGTAGGGATGCTGGCATATTCAAAACATTTTTCAAAGAACCAGGCTTGTCACTAGTTATTGGGCTCAAGGGGGTTACAAGTCCCAATTGCCAACAAAGTGGATGGGCTATCTTTCACTCGGTAACAATTTTGGAAATTTGCCAACTAGGCACCCCTAGAGGGCAAAGAACTTCTCACTTTTGCAATTGACCTTTTTTTAAGGGGGTTTTGCACCCCACACACTCTTTATTGTGACAGGCCTTAGGAGAGTGGCATCCCTTTTTCATATCAGCTTTGCATTTTGATGATTTTTAATTCCTAGGAGGCTACAACTACCCAGTTGCTATTTGTATGGTTTTGACAACAAATATAACATTGAGACAACTCACCCACTCAGTGGTAGATTTGGTTCTTTCACTGTAAAGCTAGAACGAAATGGTAATGTAGCATTTTAACATAGGAATATTTGCAAGTGCAAGTAGAGTATGTGGAGAAAATTTGACACAACCCAGGATGCAGAGCATGGCTATGGCACACCCAAGATGCAGACATGCGATGTTGAGGGTGCACGTGAAAACAAGATCTGTCAAATTACATACAGGAAAAGTTGACAGTGCTGGTGCATTCTCAACTGAGGTGTGAGCCTTTTAGTGCACTCAAGATCTTAACAAAATCTGCCATTCACTGCAAACTGGCACAAAACAGACCAATAAAAGTCTTTGTTGAGGAAACAAACTTTTATTTTAGGTATTCTATTCAGAGATCAAATTTTGAGCCAACAGCTAAAGTGTGTTGATTTTTACAACACTGGCAAAAAAAGATTATTTCGAATAAAAAAAAGGCATTATATTCACTACCTAGGTATATACTTTGCTGCACTTCGCTAAACTTTGCTCCATGACCATTGAAAGAAATTTTAATGAAAGCAAGTGGGTATTACCACAATGCATGTTACTGAAATAATGTGAATCGTTTTCCTTATATTGTGGTAGTATTTAAATGATAGTTTGTGGTAGTTTTAAATAAATGTGGCAGTTTCATTATTTTATAAAATGATAATTGTGATTATTCTTGAGCAATGTGTAGATTAAAACTGGTCGTCCTAAAATATAGCCTCTTAAAAAGTTCTTCTGGGGCTCTAACACTGACGAGATGGAAATTAAGTTTCAACAACACCAGCTGGAAACTAAGTTTGAATTGGTTGTTCCTCACAAATACCTTTTTTAATCTTAAGTCAGTGTTCGAAAATTTAACAAAGATACAATACAAATATAGTATTAACCTTATCATTTGCTAACGCCCTGCGGACATGAGTCCAGCTCCCACTCAAAGCTCGGCCTTTACTTTGTTTTATTCTGGAGGTGCGCAGAGATGGGTATGCCGTCCCGACAATTCTGCCAGCTGTTGACCTTATCCCATTAAGATCACTTAAAGTTGTTGCTTCCATGTTTGTTTATTTCCATTTGCTTTGCGGTTTCTAACCCTGATTACCCAAATTTTTCCCGCCTCGAGTTCATGTTTACAGTCCCCTGTGACCATCACTGGCTTCAAACAATAAAAAAACCATGGCAACCCTGTGATTTCTCAATATGGCGCATCACGGCCATGTGACTACATGATTCTCGACAATTTAAGCAATTAAGGATATACAGTCGGAAAATTATGGGAACGATGACCTGAAATCTGATGCCAATGCATTGATTACGTGCAGCAATAGAAACATTTTGATCTTATAATGGTGGGAAAAATTTATATGGCGTCATCCGAGAGTATTCGGAAAACGAACAAACACTGGTAAATTTTCGAGAAGTGGAAGAAAATTCATTCTCGAAAAATGCAAGGCAAGTAAGCTGCAGAAAGTCAGGTGCTTAAAAAATCTGGAAAATTTTCGAAAAGACAGGCTTTATTGCCATACAGCCATGGCCGATCACAAAAACTTTCGGAAAGGGGGGAGAGAGGCATTTGTCGGGCAGCTCACCAGCTACATTTCGCAACTCAAGTGGATGTAGAGTCAACTTTATCTGGACCATTTCCTACAGATAACCCTTCAAAATGCTTGGATTGAAATGGGCAAAAGCATTGCTTGAATGGCCTTAAACCAATTGTGAGGATTTAATTTTTTTTGGATGAAAGCCGGTTTTGGCTTCGTGATGACTCAGGAATGTCTCGAGTCTGGAGGACAACTGGTCAAGCTGCTAGCCCAAAATGATTTCAGCAAACTTTTGTAAACATAGCTTGTGTAATGGTCTGGAGCTATTCCGGATATTACCAAGAGACTTGGAGACAAAAATCTCAAAAAGGGTTTGAAAATGATTTATTGGGAACAAAAAATCCCTTTTTATTTTCAAACAAGACAATGCTCCGAGTCACCATGACAACTGTTGCTAGTTGCAAGCCGGTCCTTAGTAGTAGACATGTATGCTATCTTCCTTCTTTTATGGAAGACTATTCCATGTTTTGAGCCCTAGTCTAACGGGCCGTTTGTCCAGCATTTCTTTTCCCAAATGGTAGGTCTAAATTGAACATTGAATGTCGCGTTGTTCGGTCCTGCTTGACCGGATGAAAAATCTCAGCAATGTACGCTGGAGCAATTCCTTTGATGACAATGTACGCTGGAGCAATTCCTTTGATGACAATGTACGCTGGAGCAATTCCTTTGATGACAAACTTCACAATATTGACACAGACACATTGGTCCATCCTGAACTTTGTTAGGAGCCTCTCATTCAACCCTGGGTTGGGTACCAGGAACACTGATCTAAAAAGGTCTTTTTTAGGTCAGTGACCATATTTTGACCATGAGGTTGATTAAAATCATTTAAAAGCGTTGAGTGCTGCTTAATCTTCATACCTCCCCTCCTGGTGATGTCGAATTTGTTAAGTTGTTAAGGGTTTTGTAATTTTTTTCGACCAAAGCGAATGGATTTAGTTTGTCTTCTTTAAAATGAATGCTGAGCCTGTTTTCTACAAACCAATCATAGAGTGAATTGAAATTTCGATTCAAGTTGTTTTTAATCTGCCCAATGCTTTTGTCTCTAAAATTTAAGCAAGAATCATCTGCATTTAGAAACAGGTCACAATCGACTGCCCGTGCCATGTCATTTACATATAAAAGGAATATGAGAGGACCAATAATAGTTCCCTGAGCGACCCTCCACGACAGATCATCATGATTAGAGTACTTCTTTCCTATGTTAACCGTATAGAGTCGACCCTGAAGGTAAGATTTACACCACAGGATGGCAGATTTACCAGAGCAAAGGTGTGCTAATTTATCCAGGAAAATGCTATAGTCGATTGTGTCAATTGCTTTTTAAAGATCAATCTAGATCATGCCTGTAAATATTCCCGTTTCAAATCCTTGGAGAATCTTGTCACTCAGGTAAGATTAGACGGTATCCTTTGAATGAGGAAAAAGCCAGGTTGGTATCAAAGTAGTTTGTTCTTTTCATCGAGGTACTTTCTTACTTCACCAAAAATGACAAAAAAATTCGAGAGTTGCTGAAGTAAAGAAATTGGGTGATACTTTGTGGGGTTCTTTTTCGAACCTTTCTTAAAAAGTGGTGTTAGCTTGACTTGTTTGAAAATGAGGATCTTTGGATTGAAAGGTCTCATAAATCAGTTTTCGGTTTAGCTTGAGCAATTGCACCATCTTGTCAAGGGACCAAGTTGTTCTTCTCATAGAAGTGCTCTTTACATCGGCCGTTCGTAATTGTTACAAACGTAAACAAGTTTTTGATAAACGATTTTTATAAACAACTTTCATGGTAAACAACTTTTTTGGTAAACACCCTTTGTATTAAAGTTGTTTGCTAACACCTGTTTCTTCGTAGACATGTTTTGATTAACCGAGACGTGTGAACATAGTGGTGCTAACACGAAGAATGGATTGTCAAGGTACATAAGACAGATAACTATAAAAGTTGCTAGCTAATTGCTCACTCAAATTTTTACAGTTTAGAGAAAGTACTTGTGTTAATCATAGATTGGCACTCTGTCTTTCTCTCTGTTTGATTTCTGCCAGCGATTGCATTGTTAAAGGAGGATCTAGCTTTTCGGTCACCGCAAGCTACCCTAACGAATGCGTAAAAATACAACAGAAATCAATTGGCGACGAGGACTTCGCATACAGAAGAATCTTTCACCTGAAGAATGGCAAATGAAAAGTTGGTCGAGCTTCTTGAATTGCAGCAAGTTCAACTTCGACAACAACAGGAGCAATTTCAAAAGCAACAAGATTTACATCGGCAAGAACTGCAAGCAATGATGAGGGTCATTGAAGGATTTGGACGATAACTTTATTCCGAATCTACATGGAAACAATTGGGACGACCAAAGCTTTTCCCCAATAGCACTTGCTACGAATCTGCAGCAAGAAATGCTCTTCAGCTTAATGGGGCCTGTTATCTGGACAACAACTCCATGCACAGTCTACCTTTCAACGTCACTACATCACCGCTCAATCTTATTGGGTTACGCTCGATTGGTAAACTTGGACTCTCACTAGATGCTATTTACAAAGATCTTACGACAGACCTTCATTTGGTGAGAAATAACACTGACATGCAACTCTCACAACTGCAAAAGAAATGTCAAAACCTCTGCAAAGAGTAACCGAATCTTTTCAAAGAAACGTTGGGGTGTTTGAAAGAAGTGAAACTGGATATTAAGTTCAAGCCTGATGCAAAACCAAAATTTTGCAAGCCGAGACCTATTCCATTGGCACTACAAGAGGACCTCAATGCTGCATATGACGCAGACATCAAGCGTGGTATCTGGAAACCAGTCACATTCAACAAATGGGGTACCGGGTACTCCTGTTGTTCCAATAAGAAAAGCGGCGCTTCCTGGAAGAAAAGCAGCACTCAGAGTCTGTGGTGACTACTCAGTGACAGTAAACTGTCAACTGGATGAGCACCGTCAACCCATTCCACTTCCTGAGGACCTCATGAGGAAACTTGGTGGAGGATTTGGTTCCACAAAGATCGATCTTGCAGACGCTTACAATCAGATTGAGCTCTCTGAAGAAAGTCAACAACGTCTTGCTCTCAGTACACACAGAGGAGTTCTCCTGCAAACTCGACTACCATTTGGAATCAGCTCTACACCTGGCTACTTTCAGGAGATAATGGAACAACTGACATGTGATCTACAAGGGGTAGCAGTATATTTGGACGACATCTTGGTCAGTGGAGAAAGTGCTGATGATCATCTGCAGAACCTGAAGCAGCTTCTACAACGCCTTGAGGAACATGAATTGCGATGTCGGTTAGAGAAATGTAGTTTTGCTCAGTCGTCTGTGGAGTATCTTGGGCATACGCTTACACCGGAAGGAGTAGAGAAAGGAAGCAAAGTTAATGCAGTCAGAAACATGCCAGAGCCCACTGACGTCACTAGCCTTCGATATTTCCTGGGATCCGTTCATTTTTGTGGGAAGTTCATTCCAAATTTGTCCACAATCACTGCACCTTTGCATCAGCTGACTAAGAAAGATACATCTTGAAATTGGAACAAGAGAGCACAAAAAGCATTTGACAATTTGAAGACAATTCTTTCGAATGACACGGAACTTGCACACTACGATCCTTCTCAGCGAATGGGAAGTTGATGTGATGCATCCGCCAGTGGAATTGGAGCAGTTCTGTTTCACAGATATCCAGATGGAAGTGAGCGCCCTATCAGCAATGTTTCAAAATCATTGACTGATGCTCAGAGAAATTACAGTCAAATCCAAAAGGATACTCTCGCTATTGTGCTTGCTCTGAAAAAGTTTTCTCAGTTTCGTATGGAAGAAGATTCATACTTGTCACAGACCATAAACCTTTGCTGGCGCTTTTTGGTCCAACAAAGCCGACTCCAGCTCTTGCAGCAAACAGATTGGCGAGATGGGCTCTCACCCTCAGTCAATACGACTACACGATAGAGTACAGGAAGACAAATGAACATGGAAACGCAGATGTCCTCAGTAGACTTCCCATTGGACCTGATGCCAAGTTTGACAATGGGGAAGAAGTTAAAGACATCAACACAGTTTGTTTGATACGTTCAATTGGAACACAACTAAGTCCGACTCAACCAGGAGTAGTGAAAAACGAAACAGCAAAAGACCTGATTCTTTCAAAACTCAAACGATACATTCGTGAAGGTTTTCCTCCAAGGCCAGACAATGATGAACCAGAATCGCGTCATTTCAGAAAGCTCGAAAACTCACTTACAGTTGACAATGGATGTGTTTTCAATGGATCACGAATTGTCATTCCTGAGGTACTTCGAAGGCAAGTTCTTGATCTTCTTCATTTTGGACACATGGGAATGCAGCGCATGAAACAACTGGCACGATCAGCAGTTTGCTGGCCGCACATAGACGAAAATATTGCGGATTTGGTTAGAGGGTGTACAAGCTGCGCAGAGCACCAGAATGCACCAGAAAAAGCACCAATTCATTCATGGATCTTGCCTGAAAAGCCTTGGAGCAGAATTCATGCTGATCATGCTATTAACTTTATGGGTTCCAACTGGCTAATTGTTACTGACGTCTATTCCAAGTACCCCTGTATTCACCAGACACAGTCAATAACATCAAAAGCTACAATGCTACATCTGGAACAAGATTTCGCACATTTCGGATATCCGCATACAATTGTAAGTGATAATGCAACAATCTTTACATCTGAGGAATTTCAAGAGTTCTGTAATGAAAGAGGAATTTATCATCTCACTGGAGCACCTTATCATTCTGCTACCAATGGGTCAGCAGAAAGGCTGGTACAATCTTTCAAGCAGTCGTTAAAGAAATCACTTCTTCCATCTAAAGAGGCTGTTGAAGAAATTTTACTGCAGTACCGCCGCACGCCATTGCCTACAGGATATTCGCCTAGTGAACTTATAAATGGAAGACAAATCAGAGCCAAGATCGATGTTATCATTTCATCTATAGCTCACACTGCCCAAGCTTAGCAATGGAAGGTCAACAGTCGGATCAACAAAGGAAAGGCTCTCATTGACAAGGTTTTCAAGTATCAAATTGGAACACCCTGCTATGCACTGTACTGTGGACCGAGGCGTGACAGAGAGCCAAGATGGGTTCCTGCTATTGTCAAAGCAATCCACGGACCAAGGAGTGTCTACGTGAAGGTGATTCCCAAAGGACCGGTGTGGCGTCGACATTTGGATCAGTTACGGTCAAGATACGGAGCTGATTAAGACGATGATCCAGGTTTCCGAGCTAAACCCACACAAGAGCTACATACCAAAGAGGGGCCAACTGAGAAGCCAAAGCGACGCAACCCAAGACTTCCCAATTCCGATGAGTGCGGACCAAACAAACCAAGAAGGTCCAAGCGTCTTCAAGAAAAGCGACAAGCATCGGCTGTCGGTTCCACGGGACCTAAGCCTGATGGAGAGGTGTTACAAACGTAAACAAGTTTTTGATAAACGCTTTTTATAAACAACTTTTATGGTAAACAACTTTTTTGGTGAACACCCTTTGTATTAAAGTTGTTTACTAACACCTGTTTCTTCGTAAACATGTTTTGATTAACCGAGACGTGTGAACATAGTGGTGCTAACACGAAGAATGGATTGTCAAGGTACATAAGACGGATTACTATAAAAGTTTCTAGCTAATTGCTCACGCAAGTTTTTACAGTCAAGAGAAAGTACTTGTGTTAATCATAGATTGGCACTCTGTCTTTTTCTCTGTTTAGGAGGATCTAGCTTTTCGGTCACCTCAAGCTACCCTAACGAATGCGTAAAAATACAACAGTAATTATCAAAAGATTCATATGAAATTCTAACTGTACTGCTTTATTCATGACGACATTTCTCAAAACTTGATTTCCACGATACCAAAAGACGATAAAAACAAAGTGACATTTACGAATGAATTGCTAGTAGCTCGGATGTATTTTTCAAATGTCCTTTTACTCAAGTCTGCCTCCTTACCTCTTTGTCGTTGGCTTCCCTTTCTTGCAGCTGAGAGCTTTGAAGTTTAGTGGTGGCAACAAATCCCATTTACTGGCTAAAGTTTATTCAAACCATTTGAGCATCTAACCCAACATTTCAGTTAACATCCAACACTTTGAAATGAAGCCAATTTCACCCAGCATCTGAAATATAATGTTTCGTGTCCCAATACAGTTTTAAAAGACCCAAAATTTTACCCTTCCCAATATCAATCTTTTTGAACACATGCCTGCCCTGAGTACCAGAGCCTCATAAATCCGGAGATAAAGTATTGTAGACAGATGCGGTGGCAAAAAATAAGTGAATCCTTGATCAAAACATTTTCTGTGACTAGTTGCTATGTATATTTTTGAGACTATAAATGATGAAGACCTGGTACCCAGAGTAACACATGCCTGGCATTGTTGGACTATTATCCTCTGCGAGGTTTCTTTGGAAAAATCACTTTTCTTTAATTGTTCTGTGGTCCAAAATTCCGTGGTCTGTAATTTTGTTAAGGGAAGAAGGAAGAAAGGAACATTTTCCTTTCCTTTTCTTCCCATAATTTTGCAAAAGAAACCACTTGGAGGAGAGTACTGCTGGATGATGGCCTCTTTCTTTGAAGTGAGATGCATGACGCTTTTGAATTATCTATATAAGGAAGACAGAAGTTGAAATATGGATGATGCAAATGCTAGGTGAAAGATATTGAAATTCCAAAAGTTTGTTTGTCTAAAAATGTATTTGTACGAAGTTTAGAGGAATCCGAAAGTTTGTTTGTCTGAAAATTTATCTGTCAAAGATTAGATATATCCAAAAGTTTGTTTGTCTGAAAATTTATTTATGAACCATGCATGCGCAGTGTTCATTGACTGAGGTAGAGGCTATAATCTTTAAACATGAGTGTTTGCAAAACTTTTGAAAACAGTCGCTCTTTCAAGCTAATAGGAATACCAGTTCGAATAAATAAAATCATCGTTCTCATCCTCTATCAAAAAATAACCCTCACTTTCTTCTTAGTAGAGAACGATAAAGGAAAGTCCAATTGTTAGATTTTTAAACTATGTTACACTTTGCGGCTTTAACCCAACTAGAAAGTTTCTTTTGGCTGCGGGCTTGGCAAGAAGACTCTTTAAACTTGAAAGAAATATAGGCAAACATCCCTTTAAACATGTGACAAAAAACATGAACTTAAAAAAGAGAGTTAGTGATTTTTCTTTCCTTTTCTTTGTATTCAAGAAACGTTGACCGCGGAAGGAGTCTTCACTTCGGGTGGATAGTTTAAATTAAAATATCTTTAAATATTATAATTCAGAAACCATGAAGTTGCAGTATTCAGAATTTCTCAAGTGTTCAATAACAACCTAAAAATATGTGTGATTTGGTTTCTCAAACATCCAAAGACTGGCCAGAATTAGTCCGAAAATTTATTTGTCCAAAATTTCAAAAAATATCCGAAAATATTTTCGCTACAGTTTATTGTCCGAAAATTTTTCCGCTTAAAATGTTTACACTTAATGTCCTTGACAAAACCATCTGAAAAGTCACACAAGAATCAAATCAACTGATAGAAAAAATGCTAGCCATTTTGTACAGGCCTTGTTTCTCACTTAAAAAACTTAAATTTTGAAGGTTCGAAAGCAATAATCAGGGTAGCTTACTGTTTTAGGGCGGCACTCCATCTTTTTAGCACTTGGAGAGACCACCCCCCCTCGCATGCTACTACGATTACGGGAAACATAGACCAGGAATCAAGGACCGAGATACCAGGGGCAGAGGTAGCATAATTAAAATACTTTTATTTTATCAAATATGGCTGTTGTAACGCTTTTTTATCACGGCTGCCCCCCCCCCCCCAAATAAAAAGTTGTATCTTGGTCTTTGCCAGGAATCTTATTCTGTGATATGGTCAACGGCATTTTTAAACATCCTCGCAAGCACATCTTGAGTCTTGCTACAATCACTGCCAAAATTACTTGGAACACCTAACACTTTGCGCTGTGCTTTTCTATTTTTCATTTGTTTTCTTGAATACTACCACTTCCGCCCCCCTTTCCCCCAAAAACAATGTTGAAAGTATAGAAATATATCAAACAATCCACAAGAAAAAGCGTACTCCATAACCCCTTTCTTTTTTCTATAGTAAATCAGCATTGTTCCTAGGGGGAGAGGGGGGTGGCTGAATTTGCCTTGGAAAACCTACGTTAGTGTTCCAAGACTTTTGGCAGTGATTGTAGAAGAGCACGGCAGTCTTCTACAAGGTTGGTCTGATCAGGAGCGTCATAATAGCTTTTCACTCATTGAACCCACTGATCTATAAACAAGACTTTTTTATAGACCAGTGATTGAACCTCCTTGTTTCTGAAACAATCAAGGTATCATCCTACCTATGGAAATTCAATATTGAGTTCAATCATAGCATAGTCAATAGAATAGTGACTATTGACTGTGGTTCAATGCATCATAGTATGGTTCAATGAGTACGTCTGACAGTGCACGCGGTTTTCAAAAGCCAAGGTTTACCTATTTCTCAATTTCAACTCTGGTTTCACTGTAGCTCAGCGGCATCACCTTAAAAATGACAATATCTTCTCCTCACCTTATTTTGCATATTTGATAAGAATCGCGCGACACAAGAAAGTGTTATAAAACATACATTGAGGCGTAATTGGTGCTCCCATAGAGAACCAGATGACTCTCCTGTCGGATTCTTGCATTGAAATTCAGAAGCCGTTCCGGGGCTCCTCGTTAGCTAATTGTAAAGCATCATAAATGTTTTGCCGCAGCTAGGCGACCTTTTACGCGAAAGGAATCGATGAACAAGCTATGCTATCATAAAAGTTGTCCTAAAGGTTTGATTAACTTCTTGGCAGAGAGGCAGAGGAGACGAACAGTTGTTGATTTTAGATCGTACATGAAACAACTAAATGCCAATTTCATATGATCCAGTCTAACTAAAATCACAGGAAGCAGAATTATTGAGGTGGGTTATTTGATTATTTCAATTCAACATTAATTGAGCACGGATGTTCATTGCATTGAATTTCCATAAAATGAATAGCAGTTTCGACCTAAATCTTTAGCCTGCCATGCTATCAATGGCAATTCTAAATATTGTTTATTCAGTTACTTTATCCATAAATTTTTGATAAGTTCCGTGTTTACCAAAAATAATATATATTATGCAGATGTTTCCAATAGAACTTATTGTTCATGAAAACCCCAATGACGTTACCTGTAACTCGCGCTATATATATAGATTACAAGCACACTGACAACGATTTATAGCAGAGCAAATGATCACCCGAACATCCGAACACGAACTTCCTATCAGAAAGAAGAAAGGTTTGTTCTATCCAGTATATATATATATATTAGAGTTATATCCGCATAGAAAAACTATAATTAATTCTTTTCTGCTAAAGCAGCAACATAAATGTCGTTAACTAGTGCTGTCCAAGTTTGTCTCTCTAGCGCTAGTGTTCTTAGGCTTTCGAGATCATTTATCGATTTGAACTGGGTTATGCTGCTATATCTATTTTTTAACTTGTTATGTCTCTTTAGCATAATTATGTCGTTGCGTAATGAAACTGGCAATGTAATTACTGGTCTTCCGCGAAACTTCTTTGCATTTGATTTTTCTAAATAGTAGTTAATTGCTTTTTGCTCTGGTGTTTCTGGGTGTGATCGTAGAAAATTTCTAATTAAGTTCCATCTATTTCGTAGCACTTCCAGGGATAAGACATCTTCGCCAGTTTGCCTGTACATATCTTGTAGTAAATGTATGAAATATTGATATTTGATCGACAAAATTAAACGTATATTTGCTTTGCTAATGAAATAAACGTAATTGTCGTCTTTGTTATGCATGAAAAGATATTTTGAACGATCATTGTACGCGTCATGATATCATGCAATAAAATTTCTTGATGAACGTCTATTTCAAATGACTATGGTTTGTCAAAACAATGTTTAGAAGGCATCGGCTTGATACAAGTTTTCAAGTTTGCAATATTCAAACTTTCGCCATTTGTGGTTAAAGAATTAGCCTGCGTGCAGACTTTACTATCCGTTGCGAAGGAGAGCCAATACGGAACCGTATTGGCTCTCCTTCGCAACGGATAGTAAAGTCTGCACGCAGGCTATTAAAGAATCAGCTCTTACTAAGTTCAATTGAGTTCTTTTTCAATAGCCCAGTCTTACATGAAATTCTTATTAATCTCAAACCGGCAGCTTGTGGCCGCTGGTCACGTCGCGCAAAACAAAATTAATTGGAACAAATATTCGACCGAAACTAATCGCTTCGCTTCGTACCACGCGAACAAGTCCGCATTGTATGTTAATTATGTTTTATTGCATTTCTTTCTTTTATTATACCATTTATTATTCTTTCATAAATTATACTATTGCACCTCATCAAGTTTATTCATTCCTTGCCCTTGTGATAGAATGTTACTAAGCTTCAATGTTCAATGCCTAATTGTGACAAGTTGAGAATATGGAAGAAACGTTGAGCAGCATGATCGACAATCTTTGTAGTTAGTTTCGTCATAGCTTGGTATCCTCAAAATCCTGTAGGGAGAGAAGACTCTTTCCTGGTAGCTTTGTTAAGCCTGGTTTTCTCTAGAGTCATAAGGATCGTATCGATCATAAGAAACATAATTTTTAAGTCCGTGTCGCTTATGTTTCTTATAATCCAAATGAAAACGCCATCATAAAAATGTCTTAAGGATCGTAAGAATAGAAAATTATTTGTTATCATAATGTCATAAGCGTCATAAGTATCGTAAAAGTAGCGAGATTTCTTATGATTTGAAAAGGGCGCTTTTTCCCCGCCACTTGTCTGCACGGATCCAGCATGGCTGCTACGAATCTGCGTTTGTTCCTGGCAGTGTATATTCTAATCAAAAGATGAAAGCGTCGAAGAAATGCAAGTTAATAAAATACGAGGAAAAAAAGGGTTGGATTTCGCAAAATTTTCAAAAGGAGATCTGAGCAAGGTGTTTCGCCAACTTGTAGTCTTTCGAAGACTTGTCTTTCAAGCAACTGAATTTCACGATAGGTAATCTTTCCGCGCGAGATAGGTCCATTTTGTGTACAGAAAATAAATTTCATGTTAAAGTGCCTATGAAATGAAATTTGACAAGTTTAGATAATGGCACACTTTTCATAAGGAAAATTTGCTGATTTCAATGATATATGTTGAGGTGATTTTTTTCTTGCGGAACGGTCTAAAAATTTAGGTTGAATATCCCATTTTCACGTTTTCGACTGTGACAAAGCGCCGTTATCTGTGACGTCACAAAGTTTGCAAACACGGAATCAGTTGACGTTTTCCTGTGGTTTAGTACACGGAGGTCGTTAATTGAACTACCGTTAAAATAGCCGTAGGGGGCAATTTTAAGTCAGGATACATATCCAATTATTTTTAGTGCATCAAACTGTCCTTTTTTGCAAAGTTTCATACTGCTGTACCAAAGTACGACTGAAATACGATAATACCGTTTATTAAAATCTTGGGCGGTGTACCCCAGTTTAAAAATAGAACAAGGGGGCAATTTTCAAATGGTGTTTAAATCCTATCATTTCCTGCGTATCAGATTGCCGTCTATTCAATGTTTCTTGCTATTGTACCTACTTTCGGCAGAGATTTCAAAATAACGTTGTTTGTGGAGTCATGCGGTAAAATTCCCTAGTCTAAAAATAGCCCAAGGGCGCAATTTTCTGTCGGGGTCTATATCCTATCTTTTTCAGCGTATTAAACTGTCCTATTTTGCAAAGTCTAGTGCTGTAGTACTAAAGTACGATCGAGATGCAATCAAATCGTCTTTATAAGTCTGGAGCAAAGAACCCCAGTCTAAAAATAGAAAAGGGGGCAATTTTCAGTTACATTCTGTATCCTATCTTTTGTACCGCATCAACCTGCCCCATGTTGTAAAGTCTCGTTCTACTATACCTACTTTCAGAAGAGATGTTGTAATAATGCCGTTAGGGGCTTGGGGCAAAGAACCCCATGTCTAAAAATAGCTAAAGGGGGCAATTTTCAGTTGGGTTACATATCCTATTTTTTTTTCAGCGTATCAAACTACCCCTTTTTGCAAATTTTTATGCTGGTATCACAATTTGCACAATTGTTTGACTAACAGCCCTGACCAAGTGGTTTGGTGTGTTACCTGCGAAGACGGAATCAACTGCAAACCTTGTGACGTCACTGATTCTTATGCTTTGTCACTCGCACTCGTTGTTTTTAAAACCTCAAAAACAAACTTTCCCGTGCAAATTTTTGAGTTAATTTTCTTTTTATATTGCAACAACATGTAGAAGTTTCAATTTCTTACAAAAAACTATATGTGAAATTTCGTTTCATAGGCACTCTAAGGCCAACGAGAGAAGGAGCAATGTGTGCGGTCTTCGACTGGAATTCAGGAAAATTTGTCACCTAATTCTCAAAACAAAGGAACATCCTGTTTTAAGGATCGTTAATTCCATCGCGGGGGCCCCTTAGTTATGATAAACAACAACCTAATAACAGGAAAAACATTTCGGGCTTTTGGTGCATCAGCCCTTGTCTTGCCTGAGCAATGACGCAATTTTATGGTCGGTGTTTCATTCCAGGGAAAAAACTGCCTCAGTTTTTTACCCCGATAATCAGACTGATACACCTGTCACACAATCGAATGACTGTGTGAGAAAAAGTGAGACAGGAGAAGGCAGAAGGAAGTATGTAACGGGATATAAGCAGGAGGAGAAGTGAGTACAAGGGGACAGGGCTGGGAGGGGAAAACGCGTACAAACAACGCGTGAGTCTTGCTGCAAAATATGACATGACCCTAGCTGCATCACTGTACTTAAACAAATATGCCTGGAAAAGACCACCTAAAAAATACCACAAGGTGATTAGCAAATAGCTAAGGTAACATGATATCCACAGCCTACTAAGGATATACGTGTGGGACCACCCGATTCTAGAAAAGGGGAATCTGCGCACTTTCCCCGCGGGTATTAACTCGAATTAAACGATTAATTCCCATTAAAGATGAAAAAGTTTTTGATCTTTACGATCCTTATGTCACGAATTTTAATAGATAAAATCAAGTGCTAATTATTTTACGATTATGATTCTTGGTGTTTTCACTTGATCATAAGCGTCATGAAATCTTAAAATTACGTTCTTACGATCCTTACGACCCTTATTATGACTCTAGTGAAAACCAGGCTAGATTTAATAGGAGGGTAGATTTTCAAAAAAATTTTTTTTTCGTCGAAGACTGGAAGTTCTTACGTTTTTCTTTTTTTAGCAAAATGAGCCTCGGTTTTCTTACAAATTGTGCTCTTATATAAAAAAGAATGTAACGCTATTTTCACCGAGGCCTTTGACACGAAGAGATGTTCTCCTATTTTTCAAGTGTGCATTTATTGCCTTTGTTAAAATCTTTGATGTGCAAGTCTCATTCATTCCACATAAGGCTGATCCTCCGCCCCGAGAACCTGGTCTCAGGCTTTTGGCAAGGACTTTATGAACAAAAAGTCCTGTATTGAACAGGAACATTATTAGACAGTTCAATTATAATAACAATGAAACAAAATTGTGTAGAAAGGATTACACTAAAAGCGGGTCAAAATAATTCTTATTGGAAGATGTGTGAAGATTGTTGATGCCTTAGTTCGTTCTTGTTTTGAATCTACGACAATCAGTAACAAAAAGGTATTGAAAACAAGAATAAAAGAAATAATTTTTACGGGAAAGTGATGGTTACGTTGGTAGCTAGCCTGCGTCATAGACCAAAGACCATGACTGCCAGTATGGAAAGGAAGCATTGTGCATCGGATAATCTGGTGCACAGTAAATCTTTTTGGTGCACAGTTTGATGCACAATAAATGATTATTCCTTCTTTTGCTTTTTCTAATACCATTGGTTTGTCTAATTCAAACATTTTAGCTTCTAATTTTGCTTCTACTACTTAGACGTGAGTCTGGAAGTTTTTAGAATGATTTCCATTATTTGAATCTTTCGTGTTGTCTTTTTATTATACACTCTTTTTTTATAAGAACAATTTTATAAAAATACGAGCCTCAAAACTGGTCAAAAGTTAAGAACAAATTAAGAACTGAGGCTGAGCTTCTGCAAAATGCAATTTTGAACAACGTTTTTCTCAAAATCACGGATTTTTATCGATGTGTGGGTGCTTTTTCGGTGAATATTCAAATTTGTCAGCACATTGAGGCTGTCTCACTCACTTTGTTGGCAAATGAGGCCTGAACACCTCCTTAGAGCGAAAAAGCTAGCAATAGCACTGCTTACTCCCTCTTAATTTAAGAGCAAATTAAGAACAATCCAGCCTCAGTTTTCCGAAAAAAATTAAGAACAGTCAGCCTGAACTTAAATTGACTGGCTCTTATAAAAAAGAGAGTGTACTTTTGCATCGTTCAGTTAGTTAGACTGCATGCATGCAAAAATTAGTGCACACATGATGAGGATACCTGGTGCACAATTGCAATAGAAAATTGTGCTATCTGGTGCACAGGAAACCAACTTTCGAGGCGCTCTGTCCCATCATTCAGAGTTAACAATAGACTTTGCAGCGCGTTTATGATCGAGAGAACATTTAGCCTAACGTTGCTGATTGGGTACATAACAATAGGTCTATTGTGTAGACCAGCCAATGGGAAATTTAAATGGCCAGCGAAATGCGTCGAGACACAATGCTTTAAATAGAAGATATATTTTTCTGCATATTGTCCCTATTTTCTAGTCAATTTAAAGTGACGTATGTTGTTGTTGTTGTTGCTGCTATCGTGGTTGTAACTGTTGATAAAGCCTAGCGAACACAGGTGATTTGTGTCGCAAAAACAAAAAATTGATACATGCAACGAAAGTCGCACATGTGCGAGCTCGAAAACATACAAATTTCTTCGCTGAAAATAGATTTTCAAGATCAAACATGTTTGATGTTGAGCTTTATTTTCAGCAGCAAAAAACAAAAATCGCGCGTCTGCGGATGACTGATAAAATGCAACTCAAACAATTTTTTTTCTGTTTCCTGAACAAATATTGCCCCTGTGCGCTAGGCTAAAGTAACTGTTTAGGTGATTCTTCGCATAGATCAAATCACTGAATTGCTTTTGCGTTGTCATGAGATATCTATGTTTTATTGTCGAATTTCTTCTAAACATTAGCTTAAATAAGGCGAACACAAACCAACTGTGCAAACTAACAAAACGCTAGCTTACTTGCTTATTACAAATAAGCCTTCGAAATACATTAATGCATTATTCATAGGGAATAACATGGGAAAACATCTTGCAAATGAAGATACAAAGCATGAAATAAGTTCTCAGACATCATGGATATTTTCACCATAATTCTATGACTGAAATTGCATTTGTAAATCATTGAAGAAGAGTTCTAAAACATCAACAGAGGAAAAGATAAAGTCTTGGCTTAGATTATGATATAAAATTTAATATGCGCTTAAACATACCTCACCTTGGTTCTTTTGCACCAGCTATGCATCTTAAGTAATCTGAATTTCGCTCTACTTTCCGCAACCCTTTGTGCTTCATCCTATATTATAACCGACGTCTCAAGATTTATTTTCACACAGAGATCTGAATTTCCAGACTTTTTGTTCATATATGACACATTTGCAGAAAACATGACGCCAATATTATCTTCAATGCTAGATTTCCAGGCAAGGTTTTTCTTACAGTGAAGATAACTAGGATGAAGATAAAATGTTGCGAAATGTTGTAGTTGCTAAGAAACACTTTTCTACAAAAAACAGCAGATTCATTGTACAGTGGAATCATATTGTAGCCAATGCCTAATTGATGATCAAGACTTTTAGGCCGGTTTCGGACTGAGCTAATAATGGGCATGCGTTGAGCTATCTCTCCTTTTCGTGAAGAGAGCGCGCGGTTACAATTGTTCGAAAATTTTGATTCTTCGAAAAGCATATTTGCCGATCTTATAGTTTAATCTCGCTAAATTCGCGCGAACAAGGTGACTTGAGAATGTACGGCAACTATTTAATGATATGTTTAATTTGCTGTGGGAGCTATAAGGCGTTCGCACATCACGGAAGAAACCTTAAAGCAAATCATTTCAAACCTGAAATAAATCTCTAGTCCGAATTAATTCTAATCTTTTGTCTCCATTGAAGCAGATGTTTAAACATTAGAAAACCCTTGATTGTTTTCTTGATTAAATGTTGTCCTTTTTCAGAAATCTGATGCGGTAAATGAATGGAAAGTTCATAGAAGATATAAATTTCTTGTTCCATCCATAATCAACACATAGATTATCTGGATCCAGAAGCTGTTGAAAGACGCCTTGGAAGAAGAATGACTTGGAAAAACCGGAAATAGACGAGGGATCTTATTCTATAAAATCATTTAATAATTACAAGTGAACATAAGCGATATTTCAAATACGAATATTTCTGAAATGGATTTTCCTGATTGGTTCAATTTCACTCTAGAGGAACTCGAGAGTGGCAATTTCTCATGGAACGAAAGCTGGGTGTTTGACAATGCATCCTGTTGTACTAACGAAACCAGCTGGTGGCTCTGGGAAAAGATAAATAATAAACCGATGATTGCCGGGTGCTGGATTTACATAGTGTTCAGCTCCCTGGCTCTCATCGCCAATACAGTTGTGCTGGTGCTCCTCCGGAGAAGAGGAAAGCACCGCACGCTTTTTGATCTCACTGTCGCAAGCCTCGTTCTGGCTGATTTGATTATAAGCGTGACATTTTTGGCGGGTACTATTGTATATCTAGTGTACCTGAACACGGATTCACCAATTTCTTCAACGATTGAGAAGATGCTAATGGCACTGGAAGTAACAAATTCGTACTGTTTCATCGTTTCACTACTTCATGTTATTCTCATCACTGTTGAGCGTTTAGGTGCCTTGTTCAGTCCGTTCAGGTACCGCCAAGTGGTAACAAAACATAGGATAAAGATCGTTATCGTCTCAATCTGGCTGCTCTCCTCCATCTCAATCGCGTTAAGTCTCCACGTGTTCAAACACTTGATCGAACAAAAGATACTTGGAATAATTGTCTTCGTGTCCGGAGGATTGCTTATAGTAATGTATCTCATAATAGCCGTGAAACTAGTGTCATTAAAGAAGTTGAATAAAAAGTGGAAAATGGAGAAGCGAGTACTGGGAAATTCTTTGGCAGTTACACTAACATTTCTGATATGCTTATTTCCTTTTGCAGTAGCCATGATAAAGACGGACATTAACTGGGCTATCAGTTATGGCTATTTGTGTACCTCATTCGTATCGGTCAAGTTATTCTTAGACCCCGTGCTGTACTTTTTTGTCAGTTTTTGGAAGGGACGCAAGGCTGAAAAGAAGCGATTTAGGGCGCTAACATTAGCAACATTTTATAATATGACATTGGCTTCATCAAACAATAACCTTTACAACGATCTTGATGCCTCCACTGTGAAAAACATACCAAGTCCGCAACGTAACAATCGCGTCGAATTCGCCACGCTTAGCAAGAATGAAGACTTTCAGAAATGGATTACCAGAATGAAGACATTGAGGGTTTGATTACCAATGGTTTACGGGGAAATCCGAAAGTAAAATATCAAGACAAATAGGGGTGACCAGGAGACTGAGAACCTTTTTATCAATAGTAGTCATAATAAGATGTTTCAACTAGATATATTTTAAGAGGGCTCTTTTTAGCTTTCAAATGAGGCAACGAGAATCTTCTAAAATTTAAATAACTCGATAAATATAAATGATGGCTCAATACAGCAGACACCTCTATACAACGGACACCTCTATACAACGGACACCTCTATACAACGGACACCTCTAAATTACAGACACCTTTATACAACGGACACCTCTATACAACGGACACCTCTATACAACGGACACCTCTATACAACGGACACTACTGTACAAAGGACACATCTATACAGCAGACACCTCTACACAACGGACTTCTCTACACAACGGACACCTCTTTACAACGGACACCTCTTTACAACGGACACCTCTTTACAACGGACACCTCTTTACAACGGACACCTCCATACAACGGACACCTCCATACAACGGAGAGTTACACTGGTCAAAACAATGTTCTTTTTATGAAAGTTCCACTGCTCTACAATAAGAGGGAACTGGTAGCCCCCTAAATAATTTCGAGACTATAATATCTAATCTCCATGACAAAGTATTGAATCTACAGGTGCCTCACTTCTCTCCCCCCCCCCTAGTATGATGCTTATAATCAAACTGGATAAAATTAATCTATAAAGCCGTTATTTTTCTAACAGTATGTTTTTAATTGACGCTTATGGGGACTGCAAACAGTTTTTAGGAAAGCTTCTCAGTTTCAAATTCAGAGAAACAGGTTAAATATGAATAAATTGATTATTAGATGTATAATATTTGTTTAATACATGTATGTATAGTTCATTGAAAATAAACATTCCGTCACGTTTATTCTGACTGAACTTTCTTTGGTTTTCCCACTAAAGCTTTGATTTTGTTTATGTTCTCGGAAAGGACTGCTCCTGCTCCAGCCTGATCTTTGTCCGCCTCTTTGTCCTCTTCCTTGTCCTCCTCCCCAGCCTTGTTCTCTGTACTTCTATTTGACAACTGCTTAATAACAAGGGATTGGTACCGATTGAGTTGCTCAAAATCATCCGGGTTTAAGTACTGTTGGAGAAAATTGATTATCTGCGGGACGCAACGCCCTGGCGCGTGTATAACGCAGGATGTTTGAAACTGGAAAAGAATAACGACAACAAGATGAAGAGCCATTGCTGGTTCAGTTTCTCTATCCAGCTGGTCCAGGAGAGCTTGTCGGTGGTTGAATGCAAGTTGTCTAAAAGAAAGAAAATAAAAGAATCGCTTGAAAATAGATAATAAACAACGTAAAAGATTGTCAAATATAATGACAAAAGAGGAATGATGACAATTTGAAGCACAACAAGTTAGAATTACAAAAGCCTCCTTTCAAATTGCGTGGGACATGGGTGAGACTGTATTCATGGCCACTATCTGTCGTTTTAGAGCTTTAAATGGATCAGGCAGATAGTTTCAAATAAACTCCATTTAAAAACTGTCTCTGGATACACAAACCGTAAACATACATTCTGTATCTAAATACAAAATACCAGGCAAATTTATTATCCAAGTTTACGGTGAATTGACAGCGGAAAGCATACGAAATACTCGCGTATCAGAGCTTTAGTCAAAGTATTCATTTAAAGTTGCAGAAATACCATCCTACCTTTCTTTCTTTTTGTCAACTTTTTTGAGCAAAACATCACAATATTCGGATGCAGTTATTGTTTCCAGTTGATCAAAAAAGTCGTCGAGGTTCTAAAACAAGGAGAAAATTACACAAATATCTACAAGGCCACAATAAAAGAACATTTCTCTATTAAAATTTATGAAAGCGTTTCTATATTCTGGGAACTCGAGCAATAAGAGAAGATGAAGTCTCTCACGTCCATGGAAGTCCTTTGCAGCCTGCTTAAATATTTCATCTTAAAAAACACATAATTTATCGTAGCGCAAAAGAAAGATATATGGCAGCTCTCAACTACAGAAGGCTTCTTCCAGAACATAAGTTACTACCCCATCAAAAAGTCTTTGGAACAAGCATAAAAGCATTAAAACACATGATTACTTAATTGTTTGCACTTAGGGAGCCGTTTAACTTCGTGAGTGGTTGCTTGATTGGACCAGCGAGCTTACTCAAAAGTTTTAATCGACTCTGAAGAAAAAAGAAGGGAAAGTCTGTGACACAAGAAGGATGACCGCCAGCTGAACCACTGCAAAGTGCCCATGCTTTGAAGATAGAAATGGGGACTTGTTTGTATGTAGATAAGGAATGTGGTAGCAAACAAATTTATAAGTTTGGAGTAGATTGTCATATTTTCTTTGAGCCAGTAAGAAAATACACTTTCGAATCAAACGAGGGCAACAACACCATTTATGGAAGGCATTGATGATTAAACAAAAGGTTGGTGCTTCTGTGGGTGCTTTTCACCTACAATAGCTCACATATCTATTGTATCATGCGGAGAGATATATACTGATGTGAGATTATATAACAGGGTCATCGTACGACATGGACTAGCGGCTACGACTCCAACTGGTCGGATTATACCTTGTCTTGGAAACACATTCAAAACATTCTGTCGTCCCATGTCTATACCTTGTCTTGTCATCCTATTCGCTAGACAAATTTAAAACATGCTGTCGTCAAGTAGGTCGAAGTAGGCCCATTTTAGAATAAAATCGCCAAACCGCCCCTGCACTTAAACAGGCAATACCAGAAAACGTGTTAAGAAACAGGTGCATCTTCGCTTTGGTAAATATTAGAAAAAATAGCAGAGCTGTGATCCAGTGTGCATTATTGGTTCATTGTTATTCGAAGGGGAGTTTTTAAAACAAAGTTCTTCATTTTCACCTTTTTATTAACTATATTATCATTTCGAAGGCAGAACCGCGGAAATAGAAGTGAGGAGCGGAGAAGCGGTGAAAATTAAATGCTTTACGTTCATCCAGCATTTACATAACAAAAATTGTGCAATGGTTGTAAATAGGCATTTTTAAATAGCAAGAAAAGCGAAATTACTCCTTTTACACAAGGACAAGTTGTTCTGGCCTAGGAAACATGTGACATAAGAGACTGAATGACATTCTTATATAAGAAAAGGACATATTAAAGCAAAATCATTGTCATCATCCAGAGTTTCATATTCCGGTTAATGTCAGAGGAAAATAGTCTGACAAATGCGTGCAAGATGGCTTTTTTCCGTGTAATCCTTGACAAAAGCCCATTGACAAGATCAAAGAATTAGCTTACTGAATCTTGGATAGATGAACACACTAAAATTTAGTAATTAAGCTACCGATCCAGGAATTCGAATTGCAATAAAATAATATCACTAATCTGATTTCGCTCGAAGACAAAAGATCAAATATGCATGCTTTCATGCAATTAAACAGATGTTCATCAGCTGTTCATGAGTCAAATTTCTTCACGAGAGCAGTTTTCAACCTCGTCGAAACTGAAACATTAGCGAGGAAGTGCAGCTTTAACTAAAACTTTAATATGAGAACAACAGCGCATAATATCATGAGTTGATCGGTATTTTTTCACGCAGGATAATTAGATATTTTAAGTCTGCACTGTTTAATGCAATTTCTAAATCTCTAAATGAAGGTGAGACGAATTTATCTCGAATCGATCTCTAATCAAACAGCATGGCATAGACTGATTAAAAACTTGTTCTTAAAACATGACCTAGACGTGAAATAGTTCATCTTTCATTGAAATGTTGTTTTTGTTACAGTAAATTTGTTCTTTCGGTGATACAGTAAATGGAAGTGATGATACTGTTCGATATTGTCTTGATATCTAAGCTGTTATTCATTATAAAAGTAGATGTTTCTTTCAATAAAAACCAAGAACAACAATAAGTACCTCGGTCGTAAATGATTCGTTGTCAGCAAGCGTCAGAAGGTTTTCGGTAGCAACCATCTCGAAAATAAGATTGACAACATCCTGGCATACTGTCCTTAAGAGGTGTTTGCACAAATGCACTTGCGTGTCAGCTAGAGTATGAAAAACAACATATGCATGCAGCATATGAACAATCACGAAGGACACTAAGAGTTCTCCCTTTGAATTCGTTTTCAAATCAATTAATCTTGATTTTACCCAAAATGTAAATGATTGGCATCGAAAAAATTACTTTGCATATCAACTGGAATGTATCTGGAGGCCAATCAAAATGCTCTCAAAATTTGATTGAACATGACTCTCCCGTTCGTTTGAAGATATGTTCATTCTGACCAATTAGGACTGGAAGCAAAAAATAGCTTGTGAATGAATACTTTAAGGGGATTGTAGATTGCTTATATTCTTTAACCGACCACTTATTTTCAAACTTATTCTGCTTATGAAACTAAAACATGAATATCAATCCGTTATTTCATATTATTATGAAAAATAAGCCCTAATTTTAAAATTTTTTGGACACCAAATATATTATAGAGCCTAATTTGCGCCAACGCGAAAGATAGCTGCAAGACTTGAAAATGAAATTCAAAGGTAATATTTTTTCAAAGGCATTCCTTAATTCCAATAAAAACATTTGACTTCTGCATCTTCAATTTCATAATACGCACTCTTCATATATAAGATTTGGGAAAAAGCAAGATATTAGTTAGTTAGCCTCAGTCGACAGCCGGTCTGGCCAAGGTTCGCCAATAATTTTGGCACTCTAAGAGTTTGTAATGAGCTTTTTCTCTTCTTAGATAGCCTAAACCTTTCAATATGGTGGGTACACGCCCAGAAATTCTTGCAGATACATGCAATTCAATTTGATCCCTTTTATCAGCATTTTTGCACATTCTTCGGCGGCAGTTTTGTAGTACATAAACACCAGCACCTTATAAATTTCTTCCTAGCACCAAAAGCACCAAACCATAAATAGCTGAATTTTAAAATGAAAAAACTGCATGATATTCTTACCGTCAAGTAATTTTATTCCCTTTTCAAACAATCGTATATTTGCGTACAGCCCATTAATCTTTTCTTGGTATTCAGAATGGCTTTTCTTGTTGGCTACATTCGATGATGTGCCAGGCCTTTTGTTGAAAAGAGATTTTGCAGCCTCCTTGTACTCTTGTGATAAGGGTCTAAGATAAAAACACGCGTTACACGTGTTACAATCACTAACGTACTCAATGAATACTGATCAAGCAACCAAAATTAGCAACGATGAATGTTTGACTTCCCTTAGCGTAAAGCAGTTAATGAAAAATCAACTGAATTTAATTGAAATTGTGCACCACTGTGTAGATAAACTTTGATGTAGGCTTCGCAGGGCGTCAAAGAAAGTTAATCGACGAGTTTACACTTGATAAACCAACTCCTTTATTTGGACTAAGACAAAATTCATAAAATATAAATCTAGGAAACCTATTAGTTGGTAACACCATGCATTAATTTATCACGCATAACCCTATAACTATGTTAGCATACATCGATAACAGAATTGCCTTATAATCTCACAAAAACCGGAGTTGCAACTTCGGACCGTACTATACTACAAAGTTTATGCAGCTCTGCTAATACGGCATAGAGCACTAAGCAGTAATCTACATTGCTCGATAATAATAAATAGTAATTTTTAAGGTAGAAAGCTCTTGCATACAAAATTTGAGGGCATGCGTTTTCAAAGCCATCTGTTTCCAGAAAATATCAACAGATGATTAAGGTTGGTAAACATCAATCAACTTTGTAAAGGACAGTTACCTTTAAAACAGGTATACAAAATGCTCTGACCTGTGAAAGGCCGTCATAAAATGGAAACACCATTCATACTTGCAATGAAAAAGTCAATATGATATTATTTAGAGCAGCTACTATATACCTCAGTTACAGATGAAATAACAAAAACAGGAAAATTTCATACCTGTAAAGATATTGGGCCAATTCTGTTGAAAGGCCATCAGCCAGACCATTAATCTCTACAGTTAAATGTTCTTCGATCTAAAGAAATAAATAATTTCGCAGTTGATTGCTAGATTAGCATGTTTTGTTTCTGCTATAGAGTACCGAAGTGATGACGTCATAAAAATTTATTTTTAGAATTTCTGAATTTCTGAAAGAGCACTATGAAATACCTCTAAATATGCAAAATAAGCTTAAGACATAACGAATTGGCTGAGATATGGCCACATTAGCACAAGCTATTCCCCCATCAAACCTCTGTAATTTGGTATTGGTTCATAACTTTATGAACCAGGACAGAATAACAGTAATTCGTTAACAAACTTGAAATCTTTCATTGGCCATACTCCGCCTAATTTGGAACATATCCAGCTAATTTTGCACATTGAGAGGTATTTTATGTCGTTCTTTCAGATTATGCGGCCAAATTTAAGAAATTCTTAAAATAGATTTTTGATGACGTCACACTTAGGTGCTCTATAGTGAATAAACAATTTAAACAGAACAAAGCCCCAAATTCCGATAGCCGAGAGAAAACACGTTGACAGAACTGATCAATATTATAAAGAAGTGAAAGAAAGTAACTTCTTTTACATGCAAGGTACACGATACAAATTCATCATATCTTCTTTTACATAAAACTTACAAACAAAATTGCGTTTAAAAATAGAGAGGTCATCCTAACAACAGGGTTCATGGATTTGTTCCACTTTTACAACCTAAAACTATATTTGATAATGGGAGATCTAAGAGAAACTCAGTTTTTTGATGCAGCAATGTAGCAACTGTTTTGATGTTGTCGGAACATCGTGATTCATTCGTGCCTCTGTGACACCATATCATAAAATCTTGATATTTAAGACTTTTAGTCAAAGATTTTCTATGACTAAAACAAGCTATTAACACCTTGGATATGGCAAGCCGTTTCAATACATAGTTAATTCTTTGTCACATACCTCATCCGGTGGCAAAAAGCTAAACAGCATACTCGAAGCATCCTTCCCTGACTTCTTATCGGTATATTCATCATCATCATCATCATCATCACCATCTTGCTGACCTTTTCCCTTGTACTTTCCCTTATCTTTTACCTTTCGAGTTTTCGTCTCCCGTCCACCTCTTCCAGCCCCTCCTTTCTGTCCTCCACCTAAAGTTGCTTTCTTTTGTCGTTCCTCCTTCTTTGCTTGTTTCTGGTCGGCTTTGGATGATTCGGTTAGGCTTGCACGTTCTTGTTTTGACAATTCTGCGAATAGCGCAGGAGAAGTTCTAATCGCCTAGAAAAAACATATGTATTTGTTAAAATTGGCACTTCTACTACAAGACCTATACTGCACACCCTTCCCCTCAGAACAATGCTGTTCTATGCATAGACTCCTCCTAGATAACTATGACATTTAACTCTACGACCAACATTGTTTTGAGGTAGAGGGAGTGCAGTGTCTTTCTTCTTTTCCAGAAACAGAATTTTTTAAAAACAACACTCAAGCAGCAGGGTGTTCGAAGGACTTTCGGTAGGGATTGCACCTTTTTCACATGATGCAAAACACGAAGTCGAGTCATTTTAAACCGCGATTTTGAAACCGTTGTAATCTGATCAACAACAAAGAGATCTAAAGTAAAGTTTTAAAGAAAAATTGTTACGACTGAAAGTAAGAGGGACTACTGAGGTTGCTTTATCAATTGACCTTCTTCGAAGCCGAAGTCATCATATTATTTCTCGCCTCCTCTTCACACCGAGGCTTACTGTGCAGAGGGAGGCACCTTATGTTCTCATAAGAGCTGCATTCCTATAAGCTACTCCAATTTGATTTCGACAGTAACATTTCAACTCATTATATTATCGGAAAAATATAACCATGTAGCCCTTATTGACCACTTTATAAGTTATGTTATGTGTAACAAACATATCCATCCTTTGTCAACTACTACACTTTTTTTATAAGAACCAGTAAATTTAAGTTCAGGCTGACTGCTCTTAAATTTCCGAAAATCTAACACTGGATTGTTCTTAATTTGTTCTTAATCTTATGGTGCAAGCAGTACGATTGCTAGCTTTTTCGCTCTAGGGAGATGTTCAGGCCTCATTTGCCAGAAAAATGTTTGAGACAACCTTCATTTGCCAACAAGTTTGAATATTCACAAAAAATGCACCCGCACATGCCCAAAAAAATCCTCATTTTAGAGATAAAACGCTGTTCTAAATTGCATTTTACAGTAGCTTAGCTTCAGCTTGTTATTAATATGTCCTTAACTTTCGACCAAATTTGAGGCTCCTGCTCTTATCAAATTGTTCTTTTAAAAAAAGAGTGTAGTACCATATGACGAGTTTTTAAGTGGACCTACATTTTCAGCTTTCTCTTTCATTATTGGCTCAAATATTTTCTTGCACTGGCTATGAACTGATTACTGACGACAATGCCATCACAGAAGATCTGGGAACCTGATTTGTGTGATGACGTCATGCAGTGCTGCAAAAGCTGATGGATGTCCTCGTCAGTAAGTGGGGATGGCAACAACGACTAGGAAAAAAGCGAAACAATTATTAACAAACAAAATTAACACAGCTCAACGTTGAATTGTTGTTTCGAGATCTAATTGCAGGAAAGAGTAGTGATTTATGACTGAGAACCCTTTCACAATAGCTAAATAGATAGATAATAGAAATTAACTGACGCTAGAAAAACAAATGATCCTGACGTTTGTAGGCTTCGATCTAAAGGCAATGAAAATAACTACAAGACTATGATGATGAGGGAAACGCTTTTAAATTGTATTGCTTTGCATTGTTGGATTGTTCAGATAGGTATTGGGGGTAGGGGTTACAAACGAACACCGAATCCAGAAAAAACAGTACTTGGACAGATGGGAAGAAGCATCGAATTCAAGCAAAGAAGAGCAGACATAGACCCGGGATTCGAACAAGGTCAAGCAAAAGCTGCTGTTTGCAAATTAAAGGTGCCGGGGAATAATCGTGATCGATACGGTGGCTGTTCTAATCACGAAGTAAGAGGATAAGTGAGACAAATATTGTTATCTGGCAAAAATGGAATATCAATAGACTGACCTTTGTATGAACCCAACCGCCAGTTGTTATTGCTTCATCAATAGCAGCCTCGATGTGATCTTGAATATTCTTACCTACGCAGCAAGTTTGTAGAAAGACAAGAGAGCTTTCCTTCTCTTTTAGGCGGCGTTTAAGGAACTGCTTTCCATCGGTAATGCCAAGTCTTTGCATTCCATCATATTCTGAAGACAAAAATTATTCTTACACTGATATTTCGGTACTTTTTTAATAAGCAGCTCGACTCGAAGCCTGCCCGCAAAGTTGTTTAAAATACCCGAGGCTTGTAAAGTTCCAGCCGACCCCAGCACAGGTGGCTTAGTACTTGGTTCATTACTAGCTAGCTGCCTATTAAAAAGTAAAAGCATCTTAAATAGTTAAACATGAGTATCAGTCAATTTGCATATTGAGGTCCCTTAAGTTTAAAAAGGAATGATTTATGCAACATAGGGCTATAATATTTGCCTCAAAGAGTCTAATTCAAAACAATTTGAACAATTTTTGAAGGTACAGAACATGAAAATGGCTTTGGAAAAAGGATTTCACAACATACTACTTAAAGGTTTTTCTTCTGACACTCCTCGTCAGAATAAAGATCCGAAAGAACACGATGGAAAATATATACCAAGTTGTGGATCGAAATAGGCCAATCAGAAAAACGCAAGCACTTGACCGCCGATGTTGACCAATCAGTGCTGCGTGCCTATAGAAAATTACCACTGGAGTTCAAGAGAGAAAACGAGCCCCTTCTGTCTACACAATGGCGGTTTTTCTTTCTCAGAACGAAAAGCCATTTTCAAAAACAATTGTTTCATAGGAAGCTTGAATATTACAACTCCTTTTAAGGGACACTCAAAACCAAGGGGTGCCATTATATTCTTGTAAAGGTAGCAATGAACCGTGTGCTTCGAATTGAGCAATCAGAGGTAACTGATGATGCTCTGAAACAGTTTCTGAAGCAAATAATCATAAACTAATTTGTTCTTTTATATCATGTCACAGGCAAATATTAACATTTTAGAGCAGTCTGGGGAATAAAGCAATGAAAGAAAATAAGTGTAAGATGGTCGCATACCAATGTATCCATTCTGCTGAAAAATTGACGACACCCATGTATTCAAAGTTCGAGTGTAAAGGTCTGGGATAAAGACTGCCTTGTCAAGTTTTCCTTGAATTGTTCCTGCCAAACGACCGGAAGAGACCAACTTTTCAAGGACGCCTGAAATTGAATGAGAAACAGAGCTTATGCACCATATACACATTTACAAATACTGCAATAAACACAATGACAACCAGGTCGTAGATTTGAATTTAATACGAGTGTTAATGTTATTTGAATTCTGCTACAGCGTCTGACTTGTTGATAACGTAAATACGTCTTCTAGATAGCACTAAGCTATGAAAGTAACTCTTTATTACCGCCAACATAAAAGTGGATAATAATAATAATAATCTATTTAGAAGTGCAGGCACGTTAGTTGAATCGAGAAAACTCATCATGAATCAATCATATAAGCCGAAAATTAGCAAACTTCCATGTTGACAAGGAATCTGATAATATGTTTCCGGACCTTGCTACTCTAGGCAGAGCACAACCCTTTTTCATGTAAGACAAATACAGGTAGAGATGTGTGTCGTATACGATCTGTACGTAGGCAAACTGCCTGCTAGAGAGGGCCTAAGCCTTTTTAGTGTTGTCATGCGGGTACGTATTTGCTACTGAAAATGGGCAAAAAGCGAGCAAAAAGCGGGCAAAAGGCGAGCAGAAGGTGGGTAGGAGGCGGGCAAAAGATGGGAAGAAAGCAGACAAAAGGCGGGCAGTTGGGTCGAGCCTGGGTCCACCTTTGCACAGCAATAAAGCACTCTGGTCACTAGAACAGCTTGCCTCTCGTGTACAGCAGATAATATCATTATCATAACATCAAAGACTAGCTATTTGTACCAAGCATAAACCCTACTTTTGCAGTTGGTACTTAAAGATGAAGCAACACCACTTCCATTCCATCAACAGTGCAATTGTTACTATAGAAATTTTATGATGCTGACAATAATATCTGAACATACTGGCAAAGAACTTTTCTGGCAATCCATACTGCGACACCAAAGATGAAACAGGTGTAGGTCTATGAGTAAACAAGTATTTATTAATGGGAAATTTGTGCACAGAGATTTGAAGAAGATTTAACATTTCTGGAGTAAAACACACGCCCAGTCCTTCAATGAAGTACAAAGTTGAATTATTCATACTGAAAAATATCGACTTCTGCTGAGACTTTTGAGGGGATTTCGAAATTAAATATTAAATTTTAACCAAAAAATTCCATATTGACAATTTTGGAATCAAGTTCTTGGGTGAACTGGTAGCAAAACCCTTTATAACCCACAATCATACTGCAACGATACCTTGTTATGGCACTTAAGGCACCTCTGATTTTCGCAATGTTTCTTGCTACAAACGAATCAGTGAAAAGCATGCCTCGATCAAGTGGATCTGCTTGTCCATGAATGGTTGTTCCAAGTCTAGGCTCGATAACCTGTAGATGTAGGAGTAAAAATGTATTCAAAGGTGTCTAAGCTCTCGTTAAATCACGTTTTTGCTGTACAATGAAAATGATGCTTATGACAACGTTGGCAGGGATCATGACAAGGATGATAACAATGATGATGATCATGGAAATGCTGATTAGTAATATTATTATGATAAACATAATTCCACTCGTTCAAGATATAAATGCAAAATATATGCATAATACATACGGTCAGAAGAAATTCTGCAGGTAGGTTGAAGGTTTTGCTTAGATCTGTCACTGATATCTGACCTGCATCTTGCAAAGCTTCATTTATTTCTTCTGCAGCTCGCTCCAAGTAGTCACTAAAGAGGTAATATTAATAAGAGAATGACAGAAGAAGGAAAACTTTGTAATAAGCCTGCTAGATTAATCTGTGAATTGCCCATGCAGGCCTGGCTGTTTGAGGCAATCGTTCAAAACTTCATGCGTGAGTCTGTTTCAGCCAAATTTAGCAATCACTGGAAAAATTTGTGTGACTTTGCCAATTACTAGTCATTCAACTCTTGTTCATATTTTGCTGATATTTGCAAGAGTTGTCTGTTTTTATGGTTATAATTCAAAAGTAACATGTTTCTCTGCTCATGAAATATTTTTGAGGCTATTTAGACCTAGATTGTATAAGGAAAATTTGGTGTGCAACTAGAGAACTCTCTATTCACAGAATGACCTTATTAAATGCAACACCACAATTCTTTTATCAAAGTGTCTCAATACTTTTTGAAAGTAAATGTATGGAAAAAATGACATGAGATGGTGGGATTGCAGAAGAAACTCATTCCACAATGCACTGGAATTTCTATATCGGTGCTGAAAACTATTGAAAAAATAACTCTGTGTAGAGTCTACTGATAAAAAGCAAAAACAGCAGATACAACACAAAACTTACTGATCAATAAGTTCCCCTTGAATGAGAGTGAATGTCCTATCATGCTTAAGCAATTCTGAAACTTTTCTCTCAATGTGACTTAAGTCTACATTGATGATCTGGTAAGAAAATAAAAATGAATAAAAATTATAGCCTAAAAAAGAGAGGGAGCCAAACAGTAAACAAGTTTTCAAACTTAGTTTGTAATTCATGTTAAAGATTCTTTTACTTACATAAATACATCATTTCTAGCTACTTTTAAATCTTATTCATTGGCTTTTATTCATTGACATTTGTGATTTGCAGTTTCTTAAAGGGTCCTTTTTTGATGGTTTTCAAAACCGTGTTCCCCTAGGTATGAACCTAGACCATTATAACATATTTTCCAATGCCGACCAATGTGAAACGGGCTTAAGTATTTACTATATATATATATGTTCCTGGGTTCCGTCCTTGTAATGTAGTTTAGTAGTTTGTATGTACTGTTTTAGGTTATTTGTTATTGTAAGTTTTTATACCGAATAGAAAAAAAACTCTGTTCTGTATTAAAAAATATTCCAGGATTGGCTGAGCCCCCTTGTTGTTACAAATTAATTTGTACCTACATCTAGCAGAACAATCAAAGAGCATGTTGAAAATATAGTTGAAAACTGTCAAAAAGGCTCACAAAATGGTAACATCATCTCAGAAAATTTCAAAAGAGATTGATGCTAGAGCAGTGGGGGACATCTGGGGTCAGGGGAGGGCTGTCACACCTCCTTGTTCTAAAACAATGGGAGAATGTGATTTTGTCTTATCAAAATAATAGGCTTGCCCCTACCCCTCCAATATTGGACCAAATGTCCACCCCTTTATGCTAGCAATTGCTTGACAAAAAGAGTGCAGTGCAAATAAAGTACCCAAAAAACAAAATATGTTACATACCTGCTGCAAGTCTACTAAATTGATTCGTCCTGAGAGAAAAAACAAAGTGTACTTGGACTGTAATCATATTATGGTTGCAACAGATGGAAAAAATATTCAACAAAATTGTTCTGATGAATTTTTACCTGTTTAAATATAAAACAATTGGTTACATGGCTAATTGACTCTATAATTTATGAATCTGTTTAAGGGCAATGTCCAAAAAGCTGAAGTTTAAGGGATCTTAGAAGAGCATAAGCCAGCAGCTCATGATGGTATCTGCTAGATGGAATAAACTCTGGGAGATATTTTGATAACATTTACTGTGGTTCACATCACATCACATGCAGCTGACTTAAAACCCCTTAACCTATCAAGGTGACATGCACAGGAGATGTCGTTAGGCTAAGAAATTATAGGGTTTTAAAATTCATAGAGTCTCTTGCTTTCCTGCCCTGGGTCGAATCTGTTAATGAGCTAACAGCTTACCTCCATTAACAATAACTTCGTCTCTAATCTCTCTTTCTAACTGTTGCGGTGTCAAGTATTCTCGCCCGTCCGTTGTATAAATAACTTCAAGAAGACCGAGACTCGTTAGCTTATTTATAATTTCGATACAATTTCGGTCAGAAAGCTTATGGGAAGTGACACTGTCTTGAACTTTCTGAAATATTGACCTGAGTGCTTGAAGATCCTCCATTTTGGCCTAAGCAAAAAGATGTATCATCCTAGCCTCGTTTTCAAGGTAAGAATTTTCGAAGAAACGTAAAATAACAATGCAAGCTATTTATCATTTTTGTACTGAAGCTAAAGGGCCTCGGTAATGATTTGGCATGAGGAGAAGCTACACACATTTTAAAAAATTAACACAGAAATTGAATTCCTCATTTGTGTTTCTTGCTTTCAGCCTAAAATTTTTGTAGACTGTTTTCTTTTGAAAACTAAAATTTATTCCAGGTATTCCAGCAACAAGAATCAATTACAATAGACAAGTTGAAAATCGGAATAATTAATATATTTAATTATTTCACAGTGTCGTCAGAGCGAAATTCATATTGGGGGCTGCCTATTGTGTAGCTCCCTATTCAATACAATATTTATAATGAAAATATAGTACAGTTTGACAATTATCGGGAAACCAAACACTCATTTGACTGACACTCTACATTCATAAAAAATTGGCCAGTATTATGCAGTAACCCATCAAGCAGCATCCAAACATTATCTCTTTAACTCAGAACAAGCAGACACATCCTTGTTCAATATACGTCCCTATTCCCCTCAAAATTTCCCTTGATTCCCAGTACTTGCTGATTATCGAGTGCTAATTCTATTCTGATTCATTTGATTACCACATATAATAAAAAAAATAACACAACCCAGTAGCAACACAGACCTACACAGATTTGAAAAGGTTGTGTTCAAGGCCTGAAAAAACAAATTAATCCCACAAAGTGTCCCTATAAAAGTTCTGCATGTTTTCACTTGTCTGTTTTATATCAACAGCATCAAAAACATATTCAAATACTTCACATTCTCAGAAGGCCTTCAACAGCTTTAACATTTTGTCAAATTAAAGGCATCAAAATTTTGTCAAAAAATCCACCTGTAAGGTCATCAAGAACAGGCAGGTTTAGAAAACAAATATATAACGATTACAACATTACAACTTTCAAAATTTTGAAAAAAAATTCAGAAAAACTGAAAATAAACACTTTGTTCAGCTTGTGCTAGCATTTTCAATTTGTCTACATTTCATAAGCCAATGTGATAAGATAATAAGTTGCAGATAAATAAATGGAGTTTCACAAAATAAAGTTTCTAAAAATGTGTCCCAATTTATAAATTGCCACCTCTCAAACGAAGGACAAGATGGAGGGTAGATTCTTTCTGAATGTTGTAGTCACTCAGGGTTCTGCCATCTTCCAATTGCTTGCCAGCAAAGATGAGACGCTGTTGATCTGGAGGAATTCCTTCCTTGTCTTGAATCTTTGCTTTTACGTTGTCAATGGTGTCACTAGGCTCAACTTCAAGGGTGATGGTCTTCCCTGTGAGGGTCTTGACAAAAATCTGCATACCACCTCTCAAACGAAGGACAAGATGGAGGGTAGATTCTTTCTGAATGTTGTAGTCACTCAGGGTTCTGCCATCTTCCAATTGCTTGCCAGCAAAGATGAGACGCTGTTGATCTGGAGGAATTCCTTCCTTGTCTTGAATCTTTGCTTTTACGTTGTCAATGGTGTCACTAGGCTCAACTTCAAGGGTGATGGTCTTCCCTGTGAGGGTCTTGACAAAAATCTGCATACCACCTCTAAGACGAAGGACAAGATGGAGAGTTGACTCTTTCTGAATGTTGTAGTCACTCAGGGTTCGGCCATCTTCCAATTGCTTGCCAGCAAAGATGAGACGCTGTTGATCTGGAGGAATCCCTTCCTTGTCTTGAATCTTTGCTTTTACGTTGTCAATGGTGTCACTAGGCTCAACTTCAAGGGTGATGGTCTTCCCTGTGAGGGTCTTGACAAAAATCTGCATACCACCTCTCAAACGAAGGACAAGATGGAGGGTAGATTCTTTCTGAATGTTGTAGTCACTCAGGGTTCTGCCATCTTCCAATTGCTTGCCAGCAAAGATGAGACGCTGTTGATCTGGAGGAATTCCTTCCTTGTCTTGAATCTTTGCTTTTACGTTGTCAATGGTGTCACTAGGCTCAACTTCAAGGGTGATGGTCTTCCCTGTGAGGGTCTTGACAAAAATCTGCATACCACCTCTCAAACGAAGGACAAGATGGAGGGTAGATTCTTTCTGAATGTTGTAGTCACTCAGGGTTCTGCCATCTTCCAATTGCTTGCCAGCAAAGATGAGACGCTGTTGATCTGGAGGAATTCCTTCCTTGTCTTGAATCTTTGCTTTTACGTTGTCAATGGTGTCACTAGGCTCAACTTCAAGGGTGATGGTCTTTCCTGTGAGGGTCTTGACAAAAATCTGCATACCACCTCTAAGACGAAGGACAAGATGGAGAGTTGACTCTTTCTGAATGTTGTAGTCACTCAGGGTTCGGCCATCTTCCAATTGCTTGCCAGCAAAGATGAGACGCTGTTGATCTGGAGGAATCCCTTCCTTGTCTTGAATCTTTGCTTTTACGTTGTCAATGGTGTCACTAGGCTCAACTTCAAGGGTGATGGTCTTCCCTGTGAGGGTCTTGACAAAAATCTGCATACCACCTCTAAGACGAAGGACAAGATGGAGAGTTGACTCTTTCTGAATGTTGTAGTCACTCAGGGTTCGGCCATCTTCCAATTGCTTGCCAGCAAAGATGAGACGCTGTTGATCTGGAGGAATTCCTTCCTTGTCTTGAATCTTTGCTTTTACGTTGTCAATGGTGTCACTAGGCTCAACTTCAAGAGTGATGGTTTTCCCTGTGAGGGTCTTGACAAAAATCTGCATACCACCTCTCAGACGAAGGACAAGATGAAGAGTTGACTCTTTCTGAATGTTGTAGTCACTCAGGGTTCGGCCATCTTCCAGCTGCTTCCCTGCAAAAATGAGACGCTGTTGATCTGGCGGTATCCCTTCCTTGTCTTGAATCTTCGCTTTCACATTATCTATCGTGTCACTTGGTTCAACTTCAAGGGTGATTGTCTTTCCAGTTAGAGTTTTAACAAAAATCTGCATGCCACCTCTGAGTCGGAGAACCAGGTGAAGGGTAGACTCCTTTTGAATGTTGTAGTCACTCAGGGTTCGGCCATCTTCAAGTTGTTTCCCAGCGAATATAAGTCTCTGTTGGTCTGGTGGAATCCCTTCTTTATCCTGAATCTTAGCTTTCACGTTGTCAATTGTATCACTTGGCTCAACCTCAAGGGTTATGGTTTTCCCTGTGAGTGTTTTCACGAATATCTGCATCTTGAAGCGTTGGCTTTTAGTAACAAATTTTTCACAGATCCTCTCAACTTTGCGCTTTGAGAAAAATTAGCGCTATTGAGAATGCGTATGATTTGTATGCGCAGTTTTCGTCAAACTGAACAAATTTGGTGAAAAAGTCCTTATATAGAATAATCACACTTCCCAGAGGTCCATGTATTTCCCCCAAATTTGGTGTACAATTGCCCATATATGCATGGCAAATTACCCACAAGCCATCACGGAAAATCCCACAATCTCCAATCTCACTGTTCTTAGCCTCGTTTTCATTTGCACGATACAACATGGCGTCCACTAGTTTCCATCTGCCAAAGGCTAGCTCAAACACTCAACAACAAAATGATCTATCTGAAGAAAGAGAAAGGTCACGCAGATCAGTTTTTGGTAAGAAAGTAAAATTGTATTTCACTTATTAAAATAGAGCTCCAGAAAATGTATTTATGCTACAGGCGCAGAAGAATGATCATTAGCCGATTAAAAGATATTATCATGAAATAGAAGTTTTTTTTGTTGTGAATGCCCAAAATTCAATTTGTATTCTAAAAAAATATTTGCATGCTTGAAACTTTGATCTTGCACACCCAAGATCTGTTTTTAAACTGCTGTACTCTGCAGTCTGGGTCTGGAAAGAAGCTTGCTGAAATTTCAGAGGTTATTGTCCTCACTTTTACAGTCCTCTCTACATTTTTGGGTGCACCATCCCCAATGGTGATTTGTATTTATGCCCAATGTGATTCAACAAGATACAGAAAAAGAACTGCTGTATTGCTATGCAAAGGTTTTATCTGGGGAACAAATCTTAAAAAGGATAAACATAATAGGAAGTAAAGCAGATGCAGATTGTTGAGATACAATATGTTTCCAGTGCCATTTTATGGTGATCTGTAGAGTATGGCCCTGAAAATTTTTTCTTTGGGAGTGCTCATGAATAAGATATTTCCCTAAGATCAACCTGCATTTTGGTTCTTCTCTGTATGTAAGTAGGATGTCCATACATTTCTCCTTCTGTATAGCTAGAAGTGAAATGGATTCTCAGCCTCTAGTTGAGCAACAGATGTTATTGATATTCCTGCATAATTTTCTCTTTGCATTTGTAAAAGATGAGTGAAGCAGAAGAGTTAAATAGCTTTGACAACAACAAGAGGTTAAATTGGACTGCTATGCTTCAGACAGGCAGTATCTAGTACTATTATCTAGTACTAGTATCTAATATCTAGTACCAGTACAGGGGGTATCAGTACCATTACTTTCTCCACAAAGAAGCAAAAGAAACTGTTCTTTCATTGCTTGAAATAGAATCGGAAAGTAAATGCAGAAATTATTGGATGTGTGGTATACAGCAAGCCATACCAAGAAGAAAGTTCCAGGCATGCAGTGAATCACACTCCTAGTCACAACACTCATATGTGCAAAAATAAAATCTTAAGAACATATGTGCATGTGTCAGGCTTTTCCACTTTAAAAGGGCAATCAACCTTGCCAGTTGCCAGGACAACAAAGCCAAGCTCCCTTGAAAGGGTCAGCAAAATTAAATACCTTTCAAAATACAATCACATGTTTTTCTTTAGGTGATCTAATGCTTCTCTTGTCATTTACATAGCTAATGACTGCCCTTACAAGGCGATTAAGTTGCAACTCCAAATTTAGTTTGACCATCAGGCAATGGTTCTAAATTTTGAAAATGGTTCTAAACATATCTGTTTTTGCCATATATTGTTGTAGCTCTGGTATTCACATGGATACATTTGAAAGTGCTCTCACCTCATACTGATTTACAAAACAGCATCCGTTGATAGAAAGTTGTCAACAACAAATGCTGATATCACATGAAACTGCACAGATCACGCTGATCACGAATGGCCCCCTATAGAGAAAGTCTATTTACTAGACTTGTTGCCTTTAGAAGAACTCCATTGCCATTTTGCCATATTCTTTCAATGTCCCTATCTTGTGGTTTCACTCTTAAAAGAATTGCAGAAATTTTCAGCTTTATGTCAGGTAACACTGTGTTTCATTATGTAGTAAATTTTAACCTGCAAAGATTTTTTTGAAATGCCAAGAGCTTCTATGTTCTGTTTTTACAGTTGGTAACATCCCGTATGAAGCAACTGAGGAAAATCTCAGAGAAATCTTTGCACAAGCTGGACCTGTCTTGAGTTTTCGCCTTGTGTATGACAGAGAAAGTGGGAAGCCTAAAGGTTATGGCTTTTGTGAATACAAAGATCTTGAGACTGCTCAAAGTGCTATGAGAAACTTGAATGGAGTTGAACTTCATGGAAGGAATCTAAGAGTAGACAGTGCTGCAAGCGAGAAAAACAAAGAAGAGAACAGAGGTATGCATTTTGTTATTTTGTAGGAGAGGCTCAAATGATTTGAATTTTGATAGAAGAGTGGTGACACCAAATTCTTCAGCAGAGTCTCTCTCTACTGTTTACTCCTCTGACCCCCTGAGGCAAAAAAAGAAAAGTTGAATAGTCATTATATTTCTGGTTACTGGTTTTGTGGTTTATGGTGAATGATGTTGTTATTAGAGGTAGAGAAAGTATCAGTCCATGGGACCATTGGTCCACACTGAAGTATTTTTTGGCCCCAGTAAAAAGATCAAAGAGGAGATTTTTTACAGAAAAGTACTAAAACGCAAATGAAAAGAGAATCATAATAAATGAAGCAACCATAGTATTGATCAATCATAGTATGAAAAATGTAGGAATATCCTGAATTGCTGTGAGGTGTAAGGTATCAAATTTAAGAAACTTCTGTGATCAAGTAAAAAGTTGCTGCATAATTGGATTTTGTTGCTTTGTGAATCAGATCAGCATACTATATAAAAGCAGTAGCTTACTGCAGAATGTAATTTCTGGAAAAGTCAAAAGAAGGGACTAATATCTACAGTAGTCAAATGCCCAATTGGCCTAACTTATATATGGCAGTCTCCTATACATCTAGAGAATATGTTTTTTTAACTGCTGTTCCCTGCAAACAAAGAATATATGAAAAGAAACTTCTTTTTTGGACAAAAAACTTTTGTCTCACCAGAGCTAGAGAAAGAAGTATCTCCTTATGGAAAAGAGGTAAGCCCAGATGAGGCTCCTGAAGCTATTTCACAAGCTGTTGCTAGTCTGCCACCAGAACAGATGTTTGAACTCATGAAGCAAATGAAGGTTTGAAATTTACATATCCTCTACCTTTGTGGCTTCCATTGTTTCGGTTTTATGGAACAGGGGTGTATTGCTATGAAAAGAACTAAAAAGGTTTTTGCTAATTTTTAGCATTGATAAGAAAGACTGGTATGATTTATTGTATGTCATTAGTAAAGAATCAAATATTGATAGCATTTTGCTAAAGCATTGAATCAAAATGAGTGGATAGGCCCACTTTAAGTCATGATCTTCCAGCTGAATTTTATTTTTATTGACTGGCACAATGTGATACTAATTTTTAAAATCAGGTTCAATTAACAACTAGTTTTAGACAATGGTAGCAATAATCTTATGAAATCCTATGTGCAAGCTAGGATTTTTCGGGTACACTTTGGATAAAATGCCCCTTAAGTGATCCTTTAAGAGGCAGGTGACCCCTTAAAACTCTTTGTAATTTTTGGCTAATGTCTCCAGCCAATAAGATTTCTCACTTTTAATAATGCCATTTTGAAATATTTATTTTCACAGATTTGCATACAGAACAACCCTGAAGAAGCAAGGCAGATGTTGCTACAAAATCCTCAGCTTGCTTATGCTTTGTTGCAAGCCCAAGTGATCATGAAGATTGTTGATCCAAAAGTTGCCCATGTATGTACATCAGTAGTGAAAATTTTATTGACAATTGTGGCTGCTCTAAACTAAATTCTAAATTGAGGTATTTCTTGTTACTTTCCTCAATGTCCCAGATTTTTCCACGTCTTTACACGAGAGTGTACAGAAGTATTTAAACTAAGAAGCAAAAATAAGATTAAAATGTTCTTCTTTTTTGTAAAAGTGTTATTTGACTTCCTTAATACTAATTAAGGTTTTTTACACTGTGACGCTACCAATACCAAAGGTAGCACTGTGAAGGTTCATTTACGTATATATATCCAAAATCTAAAAACGTATAGCTTTAATTATATAATGTTTTCAGAGGAGGGAGGAGGGCTCTTGAGTTGTCAGTTTGATAGCAGCAGGTGAGGATATTAAATCTTGATTTGGAAAACTGAAAATTTGATTTCAGTATGATGATAGAGAATTTTGTTTGGCAGTTGACATTGAGAGTTTAAAAACCTTTTTCGCAGACTAGTTTTGAATAAAGAAGAGTCCTTTCTGTAAGAATGACTTAATTTGTAAATGTAACTTTCATACATTCAAATTTTCTATTTTATTTGTTTGGCATGCATTCAGTATATATATATGATGTTAAGTATTTGAAATGCACAAAGTTTTTTTTAAAAGTTTCTAAAATTATCTAATCTTTAGGCTGTGTTGCATCAACCAAGAGCTGATCCCCTGCCAGTTAAACCACCAACTAGTGCAGCACAGACTCCATCTAGTGCACCAGTGTCTGGATCAGGAATGGTGCCTCCATCAAGTGGACCAGGACCAGTGACAAGTACAAGTCAGGGCTCATCTGGTAGGCCAAGAGATGCCTCTCAAGGTATGGCACCACCTGACGGATGGAGGCCACAAGGTGAATATTTTTTAGTTGCAGCACTCTAAGTGTAATTACAATTAAGTATAATGTACTACGTTTTGCATTTTTCTGCTATCTTTCTACATTAGAGGCTTGTTTCGTTAGTCATGTTAATGTCAATAATGATCATAAAGCTGGTAATAGACGCTGCTATCTTGACATTGATTGCAAGCGAAAATAATACATTGCTAGTTTAGTAGAATTCCTTCCTTGCTAGGAATCTGTTGTTCCATATTGTCAATTTTGTCACTTCTTTTGATTTGATGCGACGATTGTATAACACTAGATTAAAAAATATCTATAAAAAATTCAAGCTGATCGCTGTACAACAAGCGTTTTCTTATCCAGTGTTTTACTGCTAAAGAGGTGTTGAGATTCCAAACGTTTCGTTCAGTGCAGGATAGAAGAGATTTTTACAGGGTAAAGCATTTTGCTAAGCAAATATCCCTAATATTTTGATAGGAAGGTTTTGTTCACATGATAAATCAAACCAAATTTCAAATCAATTCTTTAAAATCTTTTGCTAATTTGTTGTGTGATACTGACTATTTCGTATTAAAATGCTTGACAAAAATTTGTTGAATCGTTTTTAGAAAATCAGTTTGTGATTATTATTTTTCTCTGCATAAAACCAAACTTGTTTCATGTTCGCTTTTGTTTTAATTCTATTAAAACTTTTAACCCCATTTCTTTTCACTGCTGAAAACTAATACATTTATTTTTTTATTTTTTTGTCTACTCTTTCCTGACTGATTTTTAATCGCAGTTATCATTTTACAGCTCGTATATTTTTAAAACGAATTAACATGCAGCTCTTATTTCAACTTATATGAAAATAAGAAGTTATATACCCATTCAAGTTTTCATTTTAAATCAAATTTAAATATTTTTTAAAATCAACTTACAATAAGCAGTGATCTATAATATTGCGACACGTGCATATTACAGATTCAAGTTAAAAGATGGAGTTGTTAATCGAACGTCCCCGAAAGTTTCAGTTTTAGGGGCTTTTGCGTCATGTTATTTAATTGTTTTTATACTATTCTTACAGAGGAACTGAGACAGGACATGGACATAGATGTAAAACGAGAGTTCCGTGGCCCTCCTCCAATGGAGATGCGTGGTCCAGAGATAAGGGGACCACCAGGGCCTGAAATGATAGATCCCAGGGAGTTTAGGGGTGGGCCACCACCTATGGATCGAGACGAAATGCGAATAAGAGAAATGAGGGGACCACCACCGGATAAGGGTTGGTTGTTTGAAATTTTACGGCCCTTTGGTATTATGCATCTCCTACGTTAGGAGTTTAATTTAATTTATTTTTATCTCAAGTTTGTATCTTGGATAGTTATTTTAAAAAGACTGGCAGCACTTTCAGGTATTATATTTTAAAAATGAATCTTATCGTGGAAGAAGATATCAATGTGTTAATAGGAGACACTCTTGGTTGTGATTGTCAGTTAAAGTCAATCCACGCTATCAAAGGTTAAAGTTTATGAGGAGGCAGGTTTTCAAGTCTTTATTCAAATCGGGTTTTCAAAAGTTGCAGACCGTCGCTCTCTAGAAGGAAACAAACCTCTAACAGCTATAGCGAAAACTTTGCCTGTTACAGTCACGACAAAAAGTAATTTTTTATGCGAAATATTCATGCTGTCGAGTAAATAAAAAGCCATATGTTGCTTATTGATATCAGAATTAGTGCGGCTCTTCTAGGGTGGGAAACGGACACAACAGATAAACTTGTTTCAGACAGTACTCTCTTCTATGATTTCTGTCAGGTGTTTAAATAAAATCCTCTTTTATCAAAGGCTTTTTGTTGTGAGCGATACAATTCTTCATTCATTTACCTTATTTTTGCCATTTCGAGCCTTGTTTCAAATCCTTGTTTAGGCCTTTTTGGGGAAGGGGGGTTGTTTTGGTGAATCTTTTTGGAAATCCTCGCAATAATTTTATTTTCTTAGAGCTCTTTTGTACATCCATGTATGCATTAATTGTTGATAAACTGGATTTTTAATGTGAACTTGAAGCAAAATTATGATGGTAAAAGCTTATGAAAGGTTTTTTGCCTTTGTTTACAGAGTTCCGTGAATTTAGAGATGATCGTTTTCATGAGTATGGTGGGCCACCATTTGATCATCAACGGGAACGAGAGATGCGAGAAATTGGTGGCCCAATGATGGAGAGAGGACCAGTGGATCCAAGAGAGCGAGTTCCACCTCAAGGGATAGAGCCAAGAGACCCCCGAATGAGAGGTGAGATGCGCGGCCCAAGCGATCCTCGAGGACAACCACCCCAAAGAGGACCAATGGACCAAAGGGGACCGCCGCCAGAAGGTAGGCCACCAAGTGAAATTCGTGGTCATCCAGAATCATGGGGACCGCCACCCGAAAGAAGAGGTCCAATGGATCCAAGAATAGCAGGGGAGCCTCGGGGAAACCAGCGAGGTGAGTTGTTCTTTGAAAGTGACAGGTTTTTAACATACGGTGTGTAAACGATATGTCATGATATAAATCAAAATTTCTTATGCAATGTATCGCTTCGTTTATGTAACAGTGCTCGATACTATCTAAAACGCTTTTACGCTATTCGTTGTAGTTATTACGAAGTACTATTCTTTGATACCTAAGGACCAATCGTCTCACTGAAATGCTATATATTCAATCTTGATTTCTATAGATCTTTTGATACATCAGATAAAATATGTATATTTTAAAATTTCCGTACATCCCTGGTTTGCAGACCAGAAAGGTTTAAAAGCCATCATCAGCCAATATATAAATGTATGAGTAGACATTTTGAATGCCAGTTAGGAACATTCATCCTGAAAAGGGAGATGAAATTACTTCTCAGGTCTGCCCCGTCGTTGATTCATTTGTTTTATTGTTGTTATAAACTTTTATCTTTATCATTGTTGTAATTGCTCTTTTCAATTCTTTGTTGAAGATGAAAGAATTATGCGAGAAGGGAGACCTCCACCACCTGAAATGCGAGGGGGTCCGCCAGTTGACCCTAGAGACCCAAGGGCGCAAGCCAGTCAGCGAGCGGAACAACGAGGAGGGCCACCATATGAGAGATGGGGTGGTCCTCCAGATTCCAGAGGGCCACCACCTCACGGTGACCGCCGAGGAATGCCGCCTGAGAACCGAGGGCCACCACGTGGTCCACCTGGTCCGCCTGATCCAAGATTCAGGCCTGGACCTGACCAAGACAGCTTCTATGATGGTAGACCACCTCCAACTTCACAAGGTGGTCCAGGCCATGATGGCCCACCTAGGGGACCAAATGGACCAGGTGGTGTGAAGGCACCGCAAAGTGACAATCCTCAGTTTCAGCAGTGGTAGATGAACTGTTTTGTTTATTTTTCGTTCAGAGCAAGCAACTTGAATAAAAGTTTTCGCCTTTGTTTTTATTATAACTCAATGTCTTACGTATTGGCATAGACTTTCAGCCGTAGATATGTTCTTTCGATAGGACAAATATTTAGAGGTAGAGCAGAGACAGCTTCTCTTCAGTCCCATAAAGTCGTGAATGTTTGCTCAAATTTTGCCAATTAAATTTTGTCATGCATTTGTTATGCAACAACTTAACCACCAAAGAAATTTTACACGGTTTTTTCTTCTTAATAACTAACTTTGCGACCAACATTTGACTTACTTTTGGGCTAATAACCACTGGAGGCTGGAAGCCTATAAAGCTATGGCCTAAATTTGGAGAAAATGGAGAGTAGATGAATTATTCTTTCGAAAGTTTTTATTCAGAATTTTTCCTTAAAATTGTGATCTATATCGGCTTCAATCTCATCTGCGATGTTCCTCAAGGCAGCATTTTGCGTCCATTGCTTTTAACTTCATGTTGATATTTAACGTTGTTTTGTTTTGGGCCATATGAGAGCTATTTTCTGCAAATACATTCGATAGAAGCAAAATCCAAATTTTGTGTATTTGAGAGCAAATTTTGAACTACGATCAAATTTTCGTGTTTTTTTACTTGCTTTAAGTTTCTTAATGAATGTTTCGAATTTGTGCATTGATATCGAAACTTCATGTTATTTTTGTCCAAACTTACTGAGATGTTCAAAGTTTGTAGAGCTTAAACTTTCTGGAATATCCCATGATATTTTGCGCGTGTAACAGATGAAAAAGTTGAGTGTACAGCAGTTTTCATGACTTGGAAAACATTTTACCGATGGAAGCCAAAATATTAACATTTGTGAAAAATTGCAATAATTTTCATTACAATTGTTGTTACGTCATTCATATGTTCCACCCGCGTGTTTCTGGAAAACAGCTAGCGAAGAAAGTATAAAGTTTTTAGGGGTAAGTAGAGTAAGACTTGGAGTAAAGCTCTTTTAGCAAACACGTTTCATTACACGAAAATAACGCAGTACACCAAATAACGCGGAACAAATTTATGCAATCACAAATTAACGCGAATTGTGAGGTTAGACTTCAAAACGCGTGGGAATTAACGCGAATCAACAAAATTCAAATGTTATAACGCGAATTTTCAATGTCAGCTAAACTTTTTAAACTGAAATACATTCAAATTCAGTACAAAAAAAAACAAAAAAGTGACAAAAAAGCCCCAAGTCAAGATGGTTTGGAGATTCTAATTAAGATATCAGTCACGTGGGGTGAGCCTGAAAAACTATCAATTTTAGGCGTAAAATGAAAGAGGTCGAGTATCCCCCTGGCCAGAGAGTACTTTGATGACTTGAAAAGTACTAGGGATTGAGCAAGATGAAGATGTTTATTCTAATAGAACTTATGAAAAGAGCACTTTCCGATCCTCACGTTTTGGACCCTTTCTATTATCCTCATTTTTAGATAGCATATTACATCTAAGATATAATCGTGAAATCTGGTCATTTTGAAAAGTTACATGAAAATGGGATGAAATAAGCGGGTGTTTATTTAACGCTAGACATTAATAATAACTACATATTAGATTTTAAAAACAAAGGTTTTAAAAATTGAAAGAAAACATCTAGAGGAACATGAACAGTTTCCGTTACTTCGAGCCAAAACAAAAACTACAGGATGATAGGTTACATTGGAAACTGTATATAGATAATACGAATAATCAGTTACGGAGAACTGGCTCTCAAAGCTCCTGCTTATATTCGGATTTACGGCTTATACTAGTGAAAACTTTTTTCCTGCAAATGTTATGATACTTTCAAAAGTAATAAATGAAATTTAGCCACTGTCCAAAGTGAGCTGTATAAGCAGTGGTGTAACGGAGCCCTTACTAAAAGAAGTGTGGGGCCCTTACTAAAAAAAGTGTTTTGGGGGCCCCTCTGCTTAACTAAATTTCAGTCAGGTTTTAGAGTCTAAGTACTCACCCTTTGGGGTTTTTCTGAAAAACCCAAAGAAATAGCATACAACAACAAATGAAGAGATATTTTGCTGCTCAAGAAATTTCTTGTTCCGTGGATCGAATGACAGAGCCGTGGGTGGGATCACGCGTGTTTGTTGGATTCGTATCCCAGAATAGAACCATGATTCATTTTAAAGAATAATACAGTCCTTATGGGATTTTGAAATGATATTCAATGCTTCATTTTTTGCCATTTTAACTGACAAGTGAGACAAATGGCTTGACTGTTCCTCGATTTTCCCCTTTTTTGTTGCGTGTGTTTAAACTTTCAGCATTTTGTTTACTTTCAAGAAAAAAATCATTGAACTAATCGATAAATTCTCATTTAGAAGTTGAAATAGGTGGCAGAGTTAATTACTTCTTGAAGATAAGCTCTATTTTTTGCTTTTTTAAAAGAATATACTATTAACAAACAAATTACTATAAAAGCGACAAATGTTATAACACTTTTTTCTCAAAAGTTGTCTCTAAAAATGTAAGTACTTATCTATAAAGGTAATACAAGATATTAGTTTGAGGCAGGGCCTAAAATAAGCGTGGATCTGACTCACTTTGTGGAGTTGTGGAACTGTAATTGTAGAAAGTGTGGATTTGTAAATAATGCATGTTCTTAAAAGTGCAGCGTAAGATACCAATCGCAACGCCTAAGTAAGAAATGAGAACATTTTTTCAATTCAAAGTGAATGCCCAATCCCAGCCTTATGTATTGCATTCATTTTTTATAAGAAAATTGTGATTAGAAGTAAGCAATGAACAGTAAAGAAGAATCAAGAAACTTCATAGCTCAAAGCTTCAGTACATGCGGAGAAAAATCAATTGCGCTTTAAGATATTTTTGTGTGCTATTTTGAAGTATGATGGACTTGGTATACATCTTCAACTTCAAGACATCATTTCAAGATAGTTCGCTTTCATGACTTGCTTCAAAAAAGACACTGAGCCTAAGGACCAAGACCGAGATTATGATTCCCTGCCCGTAATGTATTTTGAGGTTAATGTGATATTTTTCAGTAGATTTCAAAAAAAGTTATAAAGCAATACAGCTAAGGTGTTTTAAATTGGAGAAGCATTGGAAAGATTCTTCTTAAGGCTAAAGCAGTTGAACGATGATAAGCCTCTCGGTGGTAGCTGGGAGGAACATTCAATTGGGAATGTTGCATAACAGGGACTATAGTGCTCCTCAACTTTTTTGCAATAATAGGTTAGAAAGTGTTTTGACCGTTTACGCTAACGAACGCATTAGTAGCAGTTCTGCTGGGAACACGTTTTTGTTCTTTTTGATGGTGCTTTATCTTGTGTGGTCAAAGATAAATTTATATTTTTTCTAACTCGGCTTTGTATTTTTATGCTAACTGAAATCTTCTCTAAATCGTTATGTTTATGAATAAGGACAGAAAGAAGCAAATATTTTCTGAAAGGATTGTTTTCCGTTGTTTCAAAGGGCGTGGCCGTAAAAAAGGGGCAAGCCTCCTAATCCCGTTCCAGCCACTTCCTTGTGGGGTGGTGCCATTGAGACCTGATCTAGCGTAATATTAGCATAATATTGGCCAAAAATCGTCATTTAGTATATAATCTAGCATAATTTGAAATCTAGCATAACTCTGACATAATTCTGATATTATTTATAATTCTGATCTGATATGATCCATTGTCTATCGTTACCAAATGGAAACACTTTACACCAGCATCTGTGGTTTCATTTAGATAGTAAATTGTGACTTTCCACCTTCAGGTTTTTGCCAGTTTTTTTTTGAATGGTTGGCAGCCACATATTTTGTGGTTGGCAGCCAAATGCAGCCAGCTAAACGCAGTATACAAAATGCTAAATTTTTGCTAATTATTGGGAGTGATACCGTAATCAAAATTTGCTTTGTAGGTTACAAAAGTTTTCACTTGCTTTTATCTAAAACTGTATGCTATCTTTTACTTTGTTTCATCATTCATCATTTGAAATTATTCTAAAAAGTTTTGAATATTATATGTGCAAAAATTTTTGTTTCCTTTGCATTTTCGTTGTTTTTTGCAACATGCTGCCAGAATTCAGCCAAATTTTGCTTCTTCGGTCAAATTAATTTATGACGGCCAAGGGGTTTTGAGAAACTGCCAAAATAGAGAGATTTGGCCATCAAACCATGAATCTAAATTGCCTTTTTGTTTATGAAGAATGAATACACTGGGTTGTCAAAAAGGCCAAATTGCAACTCTGGTCAAATCAAGGGTTGCCTTGATTTGAAATCTAGCATAACTTTTGCAAATCTAGCACAATCTTATGACAAATTTGGCGTAATTCCGAAATTGAGATCTGGTGCGTGGTTTCTGCATTACAAACAAGATGGGGTAAAGATCATGCTTTCAAACTGGACGAAAAGAGAATAAGAAGAAACAAGCAAAATTTGTACATCAGTGAAAGAAGAGTTTATTTGCCATCTGTAACGAGGTCTTCGTTTATAGTATCAAAACTTTTTGAAGAACAGTTTTGATGGTAGAAAATTTGATGGGTTGAATGCAGTTAAGAACTTTCCATAAGTAAGAGAGATTTGAGAAAGCTCCACCCAGCTTTTGTCCCAGACAAAATATTTCATTCAATCATGCATTAAATTTTGAGAAATAAACGACTAAAATCGCAGCGATTTGAGACTTGTTCTCAGAGGATTTTTACCAGACGAAACAATGGCTCGGATTCTCGCAGGAAACCCTATTTCTGTCGATGTAGAGAGGCTGATTCCCACTTACAACAAGATAGAAGCAGGTGGGGAAAGCAACATAGCTCCAAAAAACTTAATAAATAGATAAATATTGCAATGAGTACGCTAGATCTTGCAAGTTTCGAGTTCCGAGAAAAGCTGCAAAGATATGGCTCAAAAAAACCAAAAACCACCAAAGTCTGGATAGCAAGGCTGATTTAAGGGAGGTTTTGAAGGTGAAAGGAAATAAAAAATGACTTTGACAAAAATCCGAACAAACCATATAAAAGAGTTTCCTTTCGATAACTTTTTCCTCACATATAAAGACATC